ATTTTCTTACTCAACTCAGATATCTTCCGTTCACTGACCACACAGATAGTGATCTGGTCCCAGTCCTCTGCGATTGCTGGTCACGAGGAGGAGGTCCCAGATTAACTTCCCCTTCAATTGTTTGCATTGTGTTTTTAACTATATTTAGAAATGATAAATCCTATCCAGATCCTCCTGATCCTTTTCATTGTTTAAACTCCCGAGACATTGGAAGGCGACAAAAAATTCCAAACACAGATGATTGTGCAAACAGGTCCATTAAAACCTGGTGTTCATTAAGAATTTATCCATTGTCTTTTGACTTGGTACTTTGAACAAATCATTAATCTGGAGACTGAGTGCCACATTTTGCAACACAATCCTATCCACCACTTCTCTAAACACCACCAACTATTTTGGTGTCAAGGCCATGTAATGGATTATTCAAGCGCAGTAGGTTTTTAGATTAACCATGAATAAAGTTAAGGCAACCATTGTGTTCTCTGCAATTTCGTCGCCAGGTTTCATTCAGGTTGTGGCAGGTATCAGGACCTTGTGTTCCAAATGCACTGTCCAATTTACTGTTATGCAGCTGCGGTGTTGAAGTTCAGGTCTATGGTATCAGCACTAATTTTTATTTTCTGAGCTATTAGAGCAAATTCTGCCCATGACTTTCCTGAAGGTGGTAACTCATGATAAGTTACAAATCCACAAGCATCAAGTGCCTCGCCCAAATGGTTATTCTTCAATTGTGATCTTGGACAGTAGGTGTCAGCAGCCTATTCCACCATAGGGGCATTATAATCAACCCTAATCCTGTCCTTACCTAAGGCTGGATACTAGAAATAAAATATAATCTCAAGTTTATTAGTGTGTATTTAATCTTTGAAATTGTGCAGAAAAATCATAAAATTCTTAAAATGTAGAAGATAACTTGACACACTGTTTTTTTCACAGTTCGTTTTAAGATCCGGCTTCCAAATTAAGACTGAATATAATTTTACAACAACATATTGCCTTTCACGTTAGGAGGACGTCCCAATGGTCTAAAGGCTATGGCCTTGAGAATTTGGGGACTTCTGATGTCCATATATGCAGGATCCCATCAGAATTCACTGGATAATAGTTTTAGATGCACAAACACTAACTGTTTTTCTTTCGCATTTTCCCAAGTGAATAAAGCCTGAGAAAACACTGTTGAGAAAGGCAGAGAATCATGACTTAGTTTACATATTTGGAACACTGCAGCACTTTGGGGCACAGCACTTTATTTGCTAAGCCTTTATAAGACTTTACTGTATACTATGTACAAGTAATAAATAATAATAATCCTTGCATTTGATATCGCGCTTTTCACATCTTCTCGACATCTCAAAGCGCTTCACAGAATAGACTGCAAAGTGAATTGACTGTATATTTGTGGGCGAAACGCAGCACAATTGCGCGCAGCAGTGTCCCACAAACAGTTGTGGATTGAAAATGACCAATTTATTATTGTTTTGTTTTTTGGAGGGATTATTATTAGGCGTGTGGAGTAAGGAAACTTGCCCAAGATTTCGCCCTGCCAGGAATTAAACCCAGGTGTCTCGCTTGCAAGGCGAGTGCTCTAACCACTGAGTACACTGGAGAATACTTTATACACATTCCTATAATCTTATTTATGTGATTACAAAGGGTAGCAAACATTATTATCTCACAGACCAGGCTTGATATATAATTGCTGTCTTCCTGTTTAATTGTTTAATAATTTTCTCAGGTCAATTACGATATTTCCTAGGTTCCTTTTGGCTTTCCTGTTCTGTATATTTTCAGTTTCAGTCAGAATTATAGAAAATATGATTTGTTTGTGGGACATTGCTGTGCGCAAATTAGTTGCTGCATTCACCCACAAATTAGTCATTACACTTTACAGTATATCCGGCGAAACATTTTGAGACGTCCTCCCAATGGAAAAGGCACTATATTAAATTTAAGGATTATTATTATTATTACTCTAATCCCAATTCCATGCTCCCCATCCTGTTTTATATTCACAAGATCACAAGATTAGTTCAGATGAAGAAGGCCATTAGATTTCCACTTTGTCTCCACTAACGACTTCTCCTCCAGCCCCCGCACCATCATGTGTGGCGTCCCTCAGGGCTCTGTCCTTGGTCCCCTCCTTTTCAACATTTACATGCTCCCTCTTGGTGACATTATCCGTAGATATGGGGTCAACTTCCACATGTATGCGGATAACACCCAACTGTACCTCTCTGCCTTCACCCTCGGCTCCAGGACCCACTGCTGTCCTCACAGACTGCCTGTTGGACATCAAGTCCTAGATGAGAGCAAACTTTTTTTAGTTGAATGTCAACAAGACTGAGGCTCTCCTGTTTCACTCCTGTCAGCACCTCTATACCTCAGGCACTGACAGCATCACTGTTCATAGATGTACTCTACACCTCATGGAGCCAAACTCGGTGACCTGTTTGACCCTCAACTGTCCTTCATCCTCCACATCTATGCCATGACCCACTCTGGCTTTTCCCACCTCCCCAACATAGCCCGGCTCCACCACTGTCTCTCACTGCAGGCCGCCGAGACCCTCATCCACGCATTCATAACATCCAGGTTCGACTGTGCAAACTCCCGGCTTGTCGGCCTCTCTAACTCCTCCCTCCACAGGCTGCAGATCATCCAGAACTCTGCAGCCCATGTCCTCTCATGCACCAGGCTCCGAGGCGCTAGCAACCCCATCCTTGCCCAGCTCCGCTGGCTCCCCATCACACAGAGGAGAGAGTTCAAAATCCTGCTCCTCACCGTCAACGTCCTCTACGGCCTTGCTCCTCCCCACTTCTGTGACCCCCTACCAATCTTCACCCTCCCTCTGCTCAACAGACTCCGACCTGCTTCACGTCCCTCACCTCGCCCGCCCCACCATCGGCAGGCGGGCCTTCCGCAACTCTGCCCCCACCCTCGGGACCTCCATCTCGTCATCCCTCCGCCTCGCCCCCTCCCTTGCCTGTTCAAGACCCACCTTTTCAACCGTGCCTTCAGTCACTCTCCTATCCCTCCCCTCCCCGCCCTCCACCACTGATCACAACCACCACACCCTGACTATCCATCGCCTTGGATGCGTCCTCCTGGTGTGAAACGGCTACACAATGTAATTTGTTGTTGTTGGTCCATTTGGACGGGGTCGATAGGGTCGCGGAGCCTGGTGTGGGATAGGACACTGGTTCCAGCTTCCAGGATACCCACCGCACCATCTTCCCATCACAGCATTAAGCTGTCTTTCGAAATGAGTCCGGGGTCCTGTCCCGGACATTGTTGCTCTTCCAAATATTTATCAAACCTGAAGAGTACTGAATGGGCCCGTCAAACCAGTTTGAAGACGAAGGTAACGCTTTCTCTGCTTCCCCTGAGCTCTCCCCTCGGGCACAGGCAGGGGTTGGCAGGAATTAAAATACGTTTTGTAGCCCAACATCCACCAAACACCAAACATAGCCCAATATTATTATTATTATTATTATTATATCACGCGTGGCCAAGTTAGGTCCAAGTGCTTTTTGAAACTGTTAAGAAAATAATAATAATCCTCGCATTCGACGTCGCGCCTCGTCACGTCTTCCCCGACCGAGACGTCTCAAAGCGCTTCGCAGAATTGACCGTATATTTTTTGCGGGTGAAAATATCTTGAAGGGGGCGGTGGCGGTGGTGGCCAGGAGACGGTGGGTGGGTGGTGGGTGGGTGGTGGTGTGTGGGGGGGGGGGTGATGTTTTTGTAGGCTTAAAATAATTTTTTTATTTAAAAAAAACCAGGCCCACGCTCACAGCTGTTCCTTTCACGCACAGTGCAACCAAAAACACTGTCCTCGGCAGGAACCAATCTGCTGTGCGTGCGGTGCTCCCACCGGATCCTCTCACAGCGCTGCACCGGGCGGGCGGGAAGGTGGGAGGGAGGGCGTGCGTTTCAGGGGGGGCGGGGCTTGCTGGCGCACGCGCACGCACGCACGCACGCACGCTCGCGGGGGGCACGTTTCTCTCCCGTCAGACGAAAGCGGGCGCGTGCGGCCCTCGGGAGCTCGCGGCGGGTTCACGTTGTCTTTGAACCCCCCCAAAAAAAAATTTTTTTAACGGCTTTCATTTCCCGGTCACCCACCAACCGAAATAAACCGTCACCCACCCACCACCCACCCACCCACCAGCCACCAGCCACCCAGCCAGCGGGCAGAGGAGAGGGTGCGTCAGGAGGACTGAACCGAGAGAGGAGCTCGGCCCGTGCCCCCCCGTCACTGTTTATTGATTCATTGATTTAAACTGGTGGTTTATTGTGTGTGTGTGTGGGGCTGAGTGGCCATTGTGAGTGTCAGTGTGTGTCTCAGTGTGTGTGTGTCAGTGTGTGTCTCAGTGTGTGTGGGGCTGAGTGGCCATTGTGAGTGTCGGTGTGTGTCTCAGTGTGTGTGTGTCACTGTGTGTGTGTGTGGGGCTGAGTGGCCATTGTGTGTGTCGGTGTGTGTGTGTCTCTCAGTGTGTGTCAGTGTCACTGTGTGTGTGTGGGGCTGAGTGGCCATTGTGAGTGTCAGTGTGTGTGTGTCTCTCAGTGTGTGTGTGTCAGTGTCACTGTGTGTGTGTGGGGCTGAGTGGCCATTGTGAGTGTCGGTGTGTGTGTGTCTCAGTGTGTGTGTCAGTGTCACTGTGTGTGTGTGGGGCTGAGTGGCCATTGTGAGTGTCGGTGTGTGTGTGTCTCAGTGTGTGTGTCAGTGTCACTGTGTGTGTGTGTGTGTGTGTGTGGGGCTGAGTGGCCATTGTGAGTGTCGGTGTGTGTGTGTGTCTCTCAGTGTGTGTCAGTGTCACTGTGTGTGTGTTAGTGTCAGTGTGTGTTAGTGTCACTGTGTGTCAGTCTGTGTGTTAGGGTCAGTGTATGTGTTAGTGTCACTGTGTGTTAGTCTGTGTGTTAGTGTCAGTGTATGTGTTAGTGTCACTGTGTGTGTTAGTGTCAGTGTATGTGTTAGTGTCACTGTGTGTCAGTCTGTGTGTGTGTCAGTGTGTGTTAGTGTCACTGTGTGTGTTAGTGTCAGTGTCAGTGTAGGGGATGTCCTCTCGGAGGCGCAGTGGCCCGCGGGCCCGGGCTCGGCTGGTGTACCGCTCCCTGCAGAGCGCACAGGAGTGCGCCGAGAGCCACCATTTCGGCACAGCCTTCGCCCACTACCTGCTGTTCCTCAACCTGGCCCCAGAGCTCAAGGACATCGCCAGGGTGAGTGACCGCCCCCCCTCCAACAACATAGACAGCACCCCCCACCCCTCCACACCACCGCCATTATCCCTCCCCTCTCTCTTCACGTCTTTCCATCTCTCAATCTTTCTCTCCGGCTCTCTCTCTCCATCGCTCTATCTCTCCCTCCATCTTCCTCCCTCTCTCTCCATCTCTCTCTCCCTCCATCTTCCTCCCTCTCTCTCCATCTCTCTATCCCTCCATCTTCGTCCCTCTCTCTCCATCTCTCTATCCCTCCATCTTCCTCCCTCTCTCTCCATCTCTCTAACCCTCCATCTTCCTCCCCCTCTCTCCATCTCTCTATCTCTCCCTCCATCTTCCTCCCCCTCTCTCCATCTCTCTATCTCTCCCTCCATCTTCCTCCCTCTCTCTCCATCTCTCTATCTCTCCCTCCATCTTCCTCCCTCTCTCTCCATCTCTCTATCCCTCCATCTTCCTCCCCCTCTCTCCATCTCTCTATCTCTCCCTCCATCTTCCTCCCTCTCTCTCCATCTCTCTATCTCTCCCTCCATCTTCCTCCCTCTCTCTCCATCTCTCTATCTCTCCCTCCATCTTCCTCCCTCTCTCTCCATCTCTCTCTCTATCGCCTCCTCCTCTCACCATGCTCCATTCACACGCACATTTTTGTCCTCTCAGTAGCATCCTTGGGGCCTTGCACCTGGCAATGCGTCACGTTGACCTGTCAGTGCCTCTCAAACTTGCTCAATGCCTCTCATTAAGGAGCGATGGTCTGTCACTGTTGTTTTTGTGGGAACTTGTTGCAGTTTGTGTTTGCTCCACTTTTAAATAAATAAACAAACAAACAATCATGATTACATATATGTTTGAATAAGCTTGCAATATATCTGTCAGTATGGGAATTACAACACCTCCCCCACCACCCTTTGCAAAATTGTACCCCTGTCCAAGAGCTGTCAATAATATGGGGGACATTGTTGACAGCTCTTGGCAGGCATACAACTTTGCATAGAGTTATCATGTAGATCATGTTCTGAGATGTGACTAAGTGCAAGAGCAATAAGCACATTTAGTATTTTGGTGGACCCTATATTTTTTAGAGATGCAATTTGGAATTCAGCTGTTCTCTTGAGTTGTGTGTTTGGCATTAAACTAACTTCTGTGTGGAAGCTGTCAGTGTTTACACTCTGTAGGAACTCCCGTTGGAGCTCCCATTCTGGATACCTGTTTTTGAAAATGCATAATTCACAAGAGAGGTCACAGTCAAAGGCACCAACTCCCTTCCCCCCCATGTTATTTGTACAAGTGTCAAAAGTATTGACAAACCTCCACTATGGACTGTAAGTAACCTCAGCTTTGGTGCTGCTGCAACATTAGTGTAAACTAACTCCTCCCCCTGCGTACAAGTTTTAGTGCAGTCCATCAATGAATATCTAATGCAAAGTGATATTATTTTCAGAGTGGATCTTATTTTCAGTGGAAATTTGAATTTAAAAAGGGTGACCGTCAGGATCACAAGACTCCAGGTAGAGCCTGTCACAAGCCTGGGAGATATTTGTGCAAATTCACCACCTCATTTGTCAGTGCTCATAATAAATCTGTCAAGTAATGACAGTTGTGCTCTGATGTTGTACACCGTAGTGACCTTAGAACACCTTTGTAGTGATTAAAGAATAGAATCAGAGATCTGGAGCAGACACAAAATGTAGTACAATGCTTCTTGCTATAAGTTTGTTTTGCTGCCAAATAATACAACATCAACAAGTTGCATTTTTATAGTGCCCTTCATATCAGATAGCGTCACGGAGCGCTTAACAGTGGCAAAACTTGATGGTGAGTCAGGGAGAAGTGGGAGGTGACCATAAACATACAATACAAAATTACATTTGTATGGCACCTTTCATGTAGGGAGGACGTCCCAAAGCACTGGACATGGTCAAATGACTAAAACTTTAAACTTTAAAAGATGGCAGAAAGTAAGACGCATACACACTTACAAATCTATTTTGTCACGTTTTAACAATTAGTATGATAAATATTTATACTTGTTCTAGGGTTTGATTGTTATCCATCAAACAACTCAAAGAATTGTTTGCAATATTTTAAAGCCCAACTTTTTTAATTTTTGTTGTACTTTAAATACAGTGATGAAATGTATGTTTTAAGGTATGCCAATGACATAGGGATGGATCTTATATTATGAATCTAATATGCTTGTCTAGTCTGTTTCAGTTTAGTCCATGGTCAAAAATAGGACCATCGTTTTGTTCTGGTGTGTGGCCTAATCTCTAGTATCGTATCTGACCTTGTTTATTTTTACTTATCCATTTCTAAAATTGTAGGAATCTTTCCAAACTACTCTTCTGAAATGGGCAGAAGAATTGGATTCCTTAAGTCGGATCCAAGATATATTTGACTGCTATGAACAGGCTTTAGAACTCTTCCCCGATAATGAGGTGATCTGGAATAGTATGGGAGAACATTTATTTCGGTTAGTGAGAAGAATTTTAATGACATTTTAAAGTCTGTTAAACCTTATTATAAATGGACTTTTACACATCTGTTTCCTTCTATAGGTGTGACAGGCTGGCTCAGTTGATAGCACTCATGAGTCAGAAGTTTGTTAAAATGTTAACCTGTCTAGCTTTAATTATGGAGCTCAATGATTTTTAAATATAGTTTCTAGTTAGATTTACATATACAGAAGTCACACCAGTGACACTTCTTGGTGCAGATTCAGATGGAGCAAAATTCTTGAAATTAATCTTCTGAATGAGAACAACATAACCAGTTACATCTTTTATTGTTTCAAGAAAGTCAAGGCATAACTGGAATAATCATTTTCTTAACTTGTGTACAAAGCAAGTGTAATTTAGAAAATGTACTTTTTGTAAAGTTGCAAAGTCAAAAATTTAATTTTTTCATTCTCTGAGCAGCATGGGGTTCCGGGATGAAGCTGCTGGGTATTTCCACAAAGCCGTCAAACTCAAGCCTGATTATACAGAAGCAAGGGAGAATTTTTATCGTGTTGCCAACTGGTTAGTGGAACGCTGGCATTTTTTAATGCTGAATGATAAAAAGAGGAACTTTGCCTATGAGAGAGCGATCCAGAAAGCAGTGCAATCTGGCTGCAGCTCTATTTTGGATATTGGAACAGGCACTGGTATTCTCAGGTGGGTGGAATTTACATACATGTTTTGTTTGTGATTGAATTAGAAGCTTAGTCTGAGGATAATAATAATAATCCTTGCATTGAAACAGTGCCTTATCACATCTTCAAGACGTCTTATGATGGTGCAAGCAAGCTGGTGGAGGTGTCTCGCCAGATGTAAAAATGCACAGCATGTGTTTCTGAAGATAAACGTAATATCTTCTAGAACATTAGTTGCTTATTAATCTTGACTTACCGATACTGATGGCTTTATTAATATTGTTAAATGCATTTTTGCTTTTTGGGAATTGGTGATTTGATGAAAACCAGGACGAAAGAATCCATAATATTGTAGCTTTAAAAAGGACATATACTTAAAAAAAGAGTAACACAGAAGGCTTTGGGGGAAAAGGCAGGGGACTTAGACTAAATTAATATAAGGGAACCTCATGGAAGCTGGATCCAGTAGTTCAACGAAGCACTTAAAAAAAAAATGCTGATTTCTGGATATTCAGGTCGCAGGCAATATAATTTTTTGAGTGAATGAGCAGCAGACGGAAAAGTGGAAACAGATTCAATAACAACTTTCAAAAGGGAATTAGAGAGGTACTTCTAAAAATTTACGGAGGACAGAGTGGGTGAGTGGGACTGACTGGGTAGCTCTTGCAAAGGAATGGCCTCCTTCTGTGCTGTAATATTCTATGAATCTGATACATCACCCACAAATATAAGGTCAATTCACTTTACAGTCTATTCTGTGAAGCACTTTGAGACGTCGAGAAGACGTGAAAAGCGCTATATCAAATGAAAGGATTATTATTACATCAGTGAAGCTTCCTATACACATAATCATTGGCAGGAAGTGATTGTTAGCAGCAATTTGATGATCAGGAAGTCAGATTTTTTTTAGCGTGAGAAGTCAGTGCCAAGCAATTAGGTGTGCCATGCTTCAGGTTAGGGTCCAAACTGGGAAAGTTAGGTGAAAGTTTGGAAACTTCACTGGTCTTTCCAAAGTATTCTTGAAACAAGGGATGAAAGGTGGAATGTGTTTTGGGTTTCAAAAAGCTAAGGGGATTCCCCCCACCCAATGTTTTTCTCCATCCTGCAGAAAGATGCTACAATTTCCATTTATTTTGCATACCATAGTTCAGCAAAGATATTGAATCTTCAATCTGACCTTAAATTGGCTGCCACGTTTCGCCCACAAATATACAGTCAATTCACTTTACAGTATATTCTGTGAAGCGCTTTGAGACGTCTAGAAGACGTGAAAGGCACTATATCAAAATGCAAGGATTATTATTATAATACCTTACCACTGAGTACAATCATGCTGACTGGTTCTGAATATTTTTTAAAAACATTGGAGGTCTAAAATAAAGTATTGTTAAGCAGATTCTCAAAGTGTTTTTATTTCCTGAGTAATTGGACGCGCTTCATGCTGCAGTGGCTCAGATGCAATATGGTTCTTGGTCTGCAGACCAAAGATCCCAACAGTTGGTGTGACATGTATCTGGTTACCTGGAGAATTAAATATTTAAGAATTCTGTTGTGAATACAGAACTGTATTTTAGATCCTGTTGAAAGACAGAACATGTTCAGAGTAGCAGCTGAGCCCAGGTGAGCCTAGAGTTGTAATCAATTGTAAAATATTCAGCAGATTTAATTATGTACATTCTAGGATAATGATACTGAATATAATCAATGTCCCACATACCAAATTGAGCTCAAGTTATAAAAAATGTCATCTGATTGACGACATATGTTGGGCCAAGGTTTTTATCTAGTATGTTTTTCTAAGAGTACATTTTGCCAAATGCTAAAAAGTTTCAGTTTCCTACTTTCTATGATAAACGAATACTGAACTGAAACATCTCCAGAAACTAGTTTTTTTTCCAGTCAGTGTTATGATGTTTATTTTGTTGCAAGTTCCCTTTAAAATGGCTTTACCATCGGAATTATTTAAAGAACCACTAACAGGAAGTAAACTGAAGAAAGAAAATATAAATGCTCCTATCAAAATGCAGTTTTCATTTTACTTTGTTGCCAGAGACATATTGTGTACACAATGAGCTACTGGAGCCAGAAAGTCTCGTTAGGAGCCATTTCTTGTAAAAACTACGTGTCAGTTTCCAGAAAGGCTTTGCCTTTTTAAGCTTTATTGTATGATTTCGAAAGTTTGTGTATTTCATAAACTAGCTACGTGAAAATTGTCAGAGAACTCAAAGCAGTAGTTACATCAGAATATATTAGCATACATTAGAATATACAGCACATAAACAGGCCATTCGGTCCAACTGGGCTATGCCAGTGTTAATGCTCCACATGAGCCTCCTTCCGCCCTTGCTCATCTAAGCCTTCAAGCATAACCTTCTATTATATATTATATAATAATTAATAATCCCTCCAAAAAACAAAAAAATAATAAATTGGTCATTTTCCATCCACGACTGTTTATGGGACACTGCTGTCGCAATTGTCTGCTACGTTTCGCCCCAATGCCTGGTTTGCCCTTTTTATGGCCTTATTAACGTGTGTTGCTACTTTTAGTGAATTGTGTATGTGTACCCCTTGATACTTTGCTCCTCTACCCCCTTTAGGTTTTTATTTTTCAGAATGTATGTGACTTCCTTATTCTTTCTACCAAAATGTGTCACTTCACACTTTTCTACATTGAAATGCATTTGCCATTTAAATGCCCATTCAGCAAGTTTATTAATGTCTTGCTGTAATTTGTTGCTTTCCTTCTCTATATTAACTACTCCCCCCAATTTGGTGTCATTTGCAAATATTGAAATTGTACTGCTGGTTCCCAAGTCCAAATCGTTAATGTATATTGGGAACAACAGTGGTCCCAATATCGATCCTTGTGGAACACCACTGCCAATCTGAATAGCTACCCTTTACCCCTACTCTCTGTTTTTTGTTTTGTAGCCAACTTGCTATTCCATTCTGCTAGTTTTCTCCTGACTCCACAACAAAAACAACAAAATTACATTTGTAATGTGCCTTTCACCTCGGGAGGATATTTCAAGATGCTGGACAGACAGACTTACGGATGCGAGCTGGGGGTCGGGATGGGGGAGCTATCCTCCAGTCCTCCGGCACTACTGCCTTTCCTAATGCGTTATTATATATATAATAGTGCCTCCGTTATCTCTTCCCTCGATTCTTTTAATATACATGGATGCAATCCATCTGGACCAGGGGTTTTATCCTCTCTTGAGTTTCGTTTTTCGATTATATCTCCCCTTTGTATTTTAAGTGCATTCATATTACTTTTGGTCTCTTCTTCTACTGTCATATCCACCTGATCCGTTTCCCTGGTGAATACTGAGGCAAAGTAATTATTTAATATTTGTGCCATTTCGCTGTTGTGGCCTGTGAGCTTATCTTGTCCATCCTTTAGTTGCCCTATTCCTATTTTGATTTTTCTTTTGTATTTATATGCCTGTAGAATACTTTACTATTTTCTTTTATATTCCTTGATAATTTAATTTCATAATTCCTCTTTGCCTTCCTAATTGTTTGTTTGACTGTTTTCCTGACCTCTTCGTATTCTTTTTTGTCATGCTCTCCCTTGTTGTTTAGGTACTTAGTGAACGCCTCTTTCCTGAGTCTCAACTTTGCCCCTATGTCTTTATTAATCCAGGTATCTCATTATTATTTAGCTTTGACTTACTTTTTTGTGGAATATATTTCTCCTGGACTCTATGGATCACTGTTTTAAATGTTTCCCACTGCTGCTCTATCTCTTTGTTTGCCAATATTGTTTTCCAGTTTATTTTCCCAAGTTCCATTCTCATCCCCTCAAAATCAGCTTTTTTCCGATCTATTACCCTGGTCTTTTGTCATACTGAAGACCTTCTCAATCATTATCTTAAACCTTAATATGTTATGATCGCTATTGCCTAGATGTTCCCCTATTGTACTTTTCTTATCTGCTCTGATTCATTTCCCATTACTAAATCCAGCGGGGATTGCCTCCTTGTTGGGCCACTTACGTACTGGGTAAGAAAGGAGACCTGTACACATTCATTCCATTCCCTTATCCCCTTATAGTTGATCGGAATAAATGGAATTTGGTTGGATGCCAGGTTGATTTCCTGGAGAGCACCTGGCAACATCAGTTCTGTAGCTCTTTCTGTGATGTGGACAATGAAAGAAAGGATGCATCCATTAGGAGGGCAAAATATAGCAGAGCACCTCTTACTTGTGTCCAAACAATTCAGAAAATTCCCTGTTTAGATATCCTGAGTTAGGATAGTCCAACTGGCGGCACGCAGCCCGTATCTGACCCTCAGGACACTAGTTGGATTACCCTGACATTGGGTAACATAACATTTATGGGTAATGGAGGGAGCGGGTGGGCCAGATGAAATGGATGGGAGAGGGGGAGCGGATGAAATTGCCCCTCCCTCCTTTTCATCTGGCCAATCCATTCCCTCCATAACCCGTAAATGTATGTTCCTGGAAGGGAAACACCAAAATTTTGCTTCTGCGGCCCGTGGAATAGAGCATCCAGCCCTCAATATCCAAAACCTTGAACCACCCTGCTCTACGTAGTTAATCCAGATAACAGTTCACATGTTATTTCCAATGTTGAGATATATCATCAATATTAATTCACAGAAAATGATACACAATAAATGTATATAATCATAAATTGGATCAGGTTGGAGAGGCCCTGTTAACTCGTCAATTGGGACAAGTGATGTTTGAATAAATTATTTCTGCCACATAACTAAAATGAAGATTGTAGCTCATTTTTAGCCTTACCTGGATGAGTTATAATAGTACCGTTTGTCTCCCACCCTGCATGTTGCACATATCCCTTTTAAGAAACTAATAGATGCCAAATTAACATTATTGTTGTACGGAATTGTGAACTTAAGACCCAGATTTTCAGGTTGATGTGCTCCACCCAAATTTGAATTGTGTGCCCTTCCTGAAGTAATTGTATTCTGTTGTAGCCATTTTTAGAATGTACAAACTTTACTGTTAGACTGCGCAACTTTAAGCTTAGAGGAGGGGAAGAGAACATGTTTTCCTTTTAAATGAAAAGAGTGGTGCTGTTATTTTAGATTCTCTTTGCTCAATCGGGGCAAAATCTGCACACAAGTTTGCCAACATCGCTCATAATTCTTCTAGGAAGAACACTTGTAGTGGCTTGGTTTACTAATCCTGGGTTAGCATGTCCTCAAATTTCTGTAGTAATAATAATATTACTTATATTTGGTATAGCGACTTTTTCTGTTACTTTTTAATTGAGAAAGTGTTTCACTTGTACTAGGTTCCTCTTCCCAATGGGATTGGGAACTCATTTTGTGGGATGAATTAGGTTCATGTGATAATCACATTTAAAATATATATAAATTTAATTTATTTTGTTGGACATTTGACGTAATGGGGAACAACTAGAGATGTCTTTTCATAAAACTGAGATGGGTAGTTGATAAGTGCCCAAAAGGACTAGAGAACGTGCAGTTAGATCCTAATAGGGAAGTCAATATTTTTTTGTGGCCTGATTGCAAGCTCCAGTAACCTTCCTGATGGTTAATTCAGTGTTTGATCTCTGCTCATAGAGCTCCAGTAAACAAGGTTGAATTCTCGGGGTGAAGAACTTTAAGGCTTTGTTTTGTTGCTGATTTTTCATTTGGATATTCTAGATTGATGTGGAACATTAAATGACCTGCTGCTAATCTTCATGTTTCTTGCATGAACAGTTTTGGCTCAAGAAGCAATTGTGGCCATTGTGCTGGTTTGGCCTTTGTTAGCATGAGGACTCACACTCTGACCACATCTCTGTGATGTAGTGAATGTTGTGTTTAGGCCATCCTCACCATTTTAATGACATTTGTTTATAAATAGTCATGAAGCATTTCTCTGTAATGTGTTTAAAAATATCTATAGTGTGGCACAAATGTAGTCATTGTAGTCTGTCAAATGTGGCAGAATTTTTCCATGAAGTCTAATCTGATAGCTCTATCGGCGACCGTAAGCACGTGTTTGCTCTACTGTAGTTAGGATGTGGTTTCTGAGCCTAGAGCTAATTATTTTCTACTGAATAAAACTCCTTACATTGTTTTCTACTGAATAAAACTCCTTACTTTGTTATGATCACTGCATGGTTTTCAGATCCAGAGTTAACCACTCTTTTCTTTGATGGTGACATCATTTAATCTGACCCAAGGCCTGAAAGTCTTAGCTTGCAGAACCATTTTAGGCCTCTGGTGTTTTTTGAAAACCTCACATATTAAATTTGGCAACTCACTAACTGCACCACAGGATTTCAGTTCTACAGTGAGACTAAGATTTGATACTGAATTTGTTGAAAGCTCTGGAAATGTCAGAGATGTATGTGACGGTTGGATATTAAGAGAATCAAGAACGCCATTTCTAGACTGAGGTTTAGAATGGTACAGATTCACCAGTTTGTTTTGAATCGAGCTGCTGGTCAGGTAGCAGACAGTCACATTGAGAATGTGCAGCAACTTCTTTTGCTGGTGGTTTAACACAATTTGCAGTGGTCTAGTTATGATTTTGACCACTCCTTAAGAATAAAGGAGAGGATTATGTCTGTAAATACAAATATTGATAGTCACGACATTCAATGCGATTCTAGTAATTGCATTAAATAGAATTCCATTTTTTCTTTATTTGTTGGTGAATAATAATGAGGCTTTTACAAATAATCTGAATTGTAGTTGTGTTTCATAATTGAATAGGTCCATTACTGTGAAGCACTCCTGACATTATCCTACATGAAGGACACTTTGTAAAAGCAAGCTGTTGTTTAAGAATTTTGCCAAAGCCAGAGTGAAATGAATGAAATGCAAATCTACCTGTGCATTTTCGTCCGATGGGTGAGATTTAATGAATTGTCAAGACAAAATTTAAACTGGAGAGGTTATGGTATTAATGTACACCTAGAAACTAAGACATGTATTTGTACATGAACACATGAAATTCAAGAAGTCATTTTCACATGTTTTCCTTGCATCTCACCTTTGATTTTTTTTCTTTCAGTATGTTTGCAAGAAAAGCTGGAGCTTCCCATGTCTATGCTTGTGAGCTATCCAAGACCATGTATGAAATTGCTTGTGAGGTAGTAACTGCAAACAAAATGGCAGGAGAAATCCAGGTCCTGCATATGAAATCATTAGATATGGAAATACCTAAAGATCTCTCCAGCAGGTATGTCCAACGTTAAGCTGCTTCTGCTGGGTAATATTTTAATGATGAATAGTACAGATTTTTGTCTTTTCAGTGTATAGCTTTAGATTTGAAATTTCACATTTTGACCAAAAGCTACAACTGAGAAATTTAATTTGGCCTTGCCCCCAAATTCAAACAGAAGTGTTGTAAACTTTCTCTGTTTCTTGTTAGAAAAAAAACTTTCTGTTTTGGCTGCACCTTAGCATCTCAACACCACAAATATTCATTATCAAATACAGTGAGAGGTTTTGTAAGCAAGCACAGCAATATTTATGCCATTGAAGACCCATAAATGACATGAGGTGAATGACCAGTTTATCTGAAGAATTATTGGCTATAATGGGAAAAATCTTTTTTTTTTGAATGATGGCATGTTGATTTAAAGTATCATTAGAATGACAGCACCTTGCACAAATCCCGTACTCTTGATGATCAGCAGTCAATTTTCATGTAAAGCTTAATGGCTATGGAGCATATGCAGTGCAATACTGCTTCAATATTTAATCTAAATTCATAGATTACAGAATATTTTTTCTATCGTAGAATATGCTAACTACATTAAGATGTACTGAGTTAATAGCAACACTTTAAAGATCCCTTTCCTATCCCTAAAAAATATTTATTCTTCCCTCAGGGTATCACTAGTTGTTACAGAAACTGTGGATGCTGGGTTGTTTGGTGAAGGTATTGTGGAGAGTTTGATACACGCATGGAAATATCTTCTGTTACCACCACAGGTAAGTGTTTTATACAAATAGTGATATGTACACCTGAACTGCTTTGATCCTTCAGTCAGTCAGTTCATGTCACTGTTCAAAAAGAGAAAGAAGTTTGTTCCCGTACTCTAGCCCAGTTTAAAAAAAAGGTCATTCACTTCATGACTGTCTTGGAACATGGCTGTGTGGACACTGACTGTAAAGTTTTACATCTGCACAAAACTCATAGCATAAAGGAAGTTGAAGTCCATTATTTTTCAATTTTGGTAATGCACTGAACTTTGACAGAGTTGTGCCAGCAGATGGTGCTAAGTGTTAGCTTTATATTGTGTACTGAACATTGCTTGTTCATTTTAAGCTTTTTACTTTTGCCTCTTGTTTTATGCTTCCAGTTTCCCCAATTTTCCAATTCACACGGAAAGAAATAACTTGGAATAATCTAGTTTTGTAGGTTTCGGTATGGGACTTCATTAGATAGTTATAACGAGCATCTAAACTATGCTCTACTGTGACTTGGATCCCTTAAAGATTCAAAGATCTCTTGTGCTGAATTCAGTAATTATCAAAATAATAATGAAAAATCCAATTAATCTCCAGTGTAATTTCAGACTCTGCAATTTTGTGCGTGTTTCCTTTAGTTACCTAATTATAAAGTTTTTTTTGGGTTCCTCCCTACAAAATGGCTGAACTGGGAACTGAATAGAGCAGAGTCGATTCAATTTGTAAAAAAATTTTTGGTCAGCCAAACAAATGTTTGATACACGCAGAAACCCATCACCATGCTTAAAGTATCCAAACCAAGCTGAGATTTCCATGAATAATAATAATAATCCTTGCATTTGTGCTACCTACACATGGAAATCCCAGAGATAATTTGTGAATCAGCACACTTAGGACCTCCAGCACATTGTATTGTCTCATTTAACAGCCAATTCAGATTAATGAAGTGGACTGGGTGGTGAAGCTATAAATGTAATTTAGAAAGCTTTTGCTTAAGGAAGGGCTTTATTGCTCATTGTATAGGAAGCATGCTAGGGTTTTAACCATGTTAACTGAGTTTTAGTTGATGGTTGAGTCTGAAGTCTTTGCATGAGTCTGAAGTTCAGGATTGTTTCAATGAATGACTGGAACATTATTGTGTTTGTCTTGAGATTTTGTTTTCATTATTTTGGGTTATTAATTCTCTATATAATCAATAGGAAATATTTCCAGCAGCGATGGATTTGGCCTACTAAAGTTTAATGGATTTCAAAACACTGAATTTTTGCAATGCTGAATTTATCAAAATATTGTCATAGCTGCTCCAAATTCTCGTATAGTAATCGTTTGTCTTTAGAAAATGTCTGACAGGACATGGCATGTATCTGGGTGTGTTCTATCATATCTCTCATTGCTCAGAGCACTGCAGTCTGTCTTGATCAGACTCTTACAGTCTCCAAAGGCCCTGTTAATCAACCCAAAATATTCTACTTCCAGCTTTATTTAACAGTATGAAGTATGGAGTGTTTTACTGTAAGATTATTAATTATGGAGAAATCCTTCACTTTTAAGTAATTATTAATTTGGAAGTTTATTTTATTTAACTTTTTTCCCATCTCTGTCTTTATCTCCACCCCCCACAAAGCTGGTGCTCTACACAAATTCTGTAGCAAAAGGCAGTAACAATCGACAATCGACCGATAGAAAGCATAGTCGAATTAAACAAGAGGGGACTCTTTCATAGTTTATCCCTCTCCCCACCACCAAAGCAGAACGTTGCATTGTCTCGAGCATGAAGCAATATTCAAACCTATATGCATCTGTGTAAGATACCTGGGATTTATGTTTTGATTAGTTTTATTTTCTCTTGAAATATTAAATTATTGTTTCATAGATATCAATAGAGGGTGCTCCTGTTGAAAGATTTGGCCGAGTCATTCCTTCGTGTGCTGTTATATTCGCAGTGGCGGTGGAGTGTCAACAGATTCGCAGACACCACAGGTTAGTTTCTGGGTGGTATATCTATGTACAAGCCTAGGGTTTGGATCCAAAACATAAATGATCCAGACAATATTATTGCAATCTGTTTCTTCTTGGTGGGTTGTTTTATTAAATATATTAAGGGATATCAATTTTGGAGAATGGATTAAGTGGCTCTATGTATTTTGCCCCCAAAATGTCTCTTAATCCCATCCTAAAAAGATCACCATCTGTTCATCATAATATCGAGGCACATACACCCATTCATAATATTGAGGCTTGACTATGCAAACTCCTTGCTTGTTGGCCTCCCCAAGTCTTCAGAACTCTGCAGCCTTTGCCTTCTCCAGTACCAGGTTCCGTGATCCTTTCACTCCCATCCTCGCCCGACTCCACTGGCTTCCCATCACACAGATTCTAGTTCAAGATCCTAGTCCTCATCTTCAAAGCCATCCATGGCTTTGCTCCCCCCTACCTCTGCGACCTCCTAACCCCCTACCATCCTGCCCGCTCCCTCTGCTCAGTGGGCTCAGGCCTGCTTCACGTCCCCCGCCTCGCTCGCCCCACTATTGGCCGGCGGGCCTTCTGCCATTCTGCCCCCACCCTCTGGAACTCCATCCCGCAGTTCCTCCGCCTCGCCCCTTCCCTTGCTTCCTTCAAGACCCATCTCAAGCCCCTCCTCTTCGATCGTGCTTTCGATCATCCTGCTTCCACCCCCGCCCTCCACCCTCCCCAATCCCGACCCCCAGCTCGGATCTGAACACTGACTGTCCAGCGCGTTGGTACGTCCTCCCGACGTGAAAGGTGTTATACAAATGTAATTTTGTTGTTGTTTGAATAGTGTACAATCTCTTGTTTTCCACATCAGTCACAGCCATATGGCGTTTACGAGCGCAAACCTAAAAACTGACTGATCAGCAGTTTTAGGCCGTGAACTGCATCCATTAGGAATGGAAATAAGACTGATTTTTACAGCCATTGTCTTACTGCCATCATGCTCACCTGGATTTGAGTACGGAGCCCTGAAAGTTCACCCACAACTTTGGCTGTGAGGTCATTTTGTCTTAAAATTTAAGAACACACAAAATTGTGGAAAATTCTTAAATTATGTTAAATGGCAAAGCCATTTTCCAGTTTAAAAAAATTCGGAATCCCAAATTATGGCTGAATTTCAGCATTTTTATTCATTTCTATGCAATCTCAAATTGCAAGATAAAATGTTCTTCCAAACTAAGACTAAGTCGATTTCAGGCCTCAAGTCTCAAAGATTATAGAATAGTGCTTAACCCACTGAGCCATCAATCTCCTTTTCACTCTTTTAAAATATATAAATTGTTATTTTTATTCTTTAGAAATGACAAAAAGTAAAATAATTAGCTTTCCCAAGAGATGAGTTAGATGGTTTCCATATATCCAGATGTCCATCCATTTTCTATGGTTCACTGAGTAGGTAAAGATACTGCTTGCAATCCAAAATATTAAATCACCCCATTTTGGAATAATTTGTTGTGTTTTATTAAATATGACAGTGCAGGAGTACAACCACAGAACTTTAAATGATTAGGGAGATTTTGAAACTTTGTGTGCATAGTTGAATGCTCTTTATGCTTTTTGAGAAGTTAATGAAAATCTCTTTTATCCCATTGTTCTGTTCGGCAGAGTTTGCTTTAGTGACATTGGTGGGTTGTGTTTGAATGGAACAGTGAAATGGTACAGTCCAATTGGCAATCGCCCTGATGGCATTGATGCTGCTGAACCTTACACGACTGAGAGAATGAGTCGTATTCCTGGTGGATATACACCACTGACTGACAACTTCCAGGCCATGACCATTGACTTCAATAATCCACAGGTTTGAAAACGACTCTCATTCACATACTACTGAAGGGGGTACATAAAAGCAAATCACAAGTTTGAATCTTGTCTGATGCCTTCTAAGATGGAAGCAAACGTGAGGTGAATTTAGTAATCCTGCTTCAGTCATGTCAACTGGGTTTTAGTGTCTGCACATGGACACTCTAGGTTCCATTATAATTAAGCAAGTGCTTCCATTATTAGCGCTCTGGAATGCTACTCTGCATGAGGGATACTATATAAATGCAATTTTTTGCTTTTGAGGACCATTGTGCATTTGTAGTTAAGAGCATAGGACTGGAAAAGACTGTTGTGTTCATGGTGTCAGCCTAGCTCAGTTGATGGCACTCTTGCCTGGATTCAGAAGGTTGTGGGTTCTTGTCCCATGTCAGCACTTTTAACTCATGTAGCATAGGCTGACACTCCAATGCAGTGTGCTGCATTGTTGGAGATGCCATCTTTCGGAAGAGATGCTAAACTGAGTCCCGTCTGTCTGTTCAGGTAGAAATGAAAGCTCATGACACTATTCGAAATGAGAAGGGACAGTGAGCAATTGCCCAAATAAAATTGGTCATTCACTCCATGGCTGTTTGTGGGAGATAGCTGTGGCCAAATTGGCTGCCATATTCGCCCACAAAGCACACAGTATCTGCACTTTACAGTACACTATATCCTATGAAGTGCTTTGAGATGGCTTCCTGAAGTAAAAGGCACTGTACCAAATGTAAGAATTTTTATTATTTTATTAATTAACATATTAATACACAGCCAACATTAGTCCCATTTTAAGACTTTATATTCACAGTATTTGCTTTCTGTCCTGTAATTACTTCTACATTAGATAGTACTATGAGTTTGACTTTGTCGTGAGTTAACTATTTGCTTTGAAACTAGCTGGCTCAGAGATATAACCAGTTACAGATTAATTTGTAATTATTGTGTATACATTATAATAATATTAACTCTACAAATGTTTTTAACTGTCTTGTTTCTGTATTGCCATAGGAATTGGAAGGGCTCACTACTAGGGATTCTTATCAACTGAGTCTGCCAATAGTCAAGGAGGGTGTGCTGGATGCAGTTGTAGCTTGGTTTGTTCTGCAACTTGATGATGAAATAAGTCTCTCCACTGGTCCCAGTGAAGAGACATGTTGGGAACAGGCTGTGTATCCTGTACATGAAGGGCTCAGTAAGTGAAATTACTTTGGGTCAGCAGAATGAGAACTGACTAGCGGGTTTGATTCTTGTGTCTGATATGGTGATGAAAGGGTCAGAAAGTGGTTTGAAAACTATAGAATGCCTAAATAGACAACTTTGCAAACAAATTTCTCTTTTGGTAATTGATGTGACTATTAGTCTAGCGTCAGTCTTTGTGATTTCACTTCCATTTTTTAAATGTTTTTATTTAATTTTTTTAATGCCTGTCTTTATAGATCTGTGTGTATATCAAAATGAAAGTTTTACTTTATTTGGATTTAGATGACTTCCTAAATTAATTTAGATTCTTATTATTTATGGAATCATCTAAACTCAGTTATGTCTGTCTATTTATTTGCTCGCTCATTCCTACCCGTTATATAAACACTGAAAACATTTTTTGAGAAATGATTCCCAATTTTTTAAAATTTAATTTTACCTTGAGCTTACCTGTTTATTTTTGTTTCTCTCTTTCAGGCCGAACTGTAAAGCCTGGTGACACTCTTGTAGTTGATGTTTCCTGCAAGGACTCGTACCTGATTTTTAACAGTGTTGCTGTAGTTAGCTCTGAGGACAAAATGGAAATTGAGATGAATAGCATGAGCGATCAGAAATGCAATGACCTTGCAAGTGAGACTGAACTTTGCAACGCATTGGCCAGTCTCCAGACTACAAATGAACCAGGAATGGCCCTTCAACACTGTATGCTTGAATCTTCAGAAATAGCTAGACTCAATAATACACAATATAATGACCATTTCAAATATGCCTTGAGCAGGGCACTGTCTTTAATGTCAGACGAAAATGGAACCTGTTCTTCCCAAACCATGGATGATAGCAGTTCAAACCTGAATAGCGAAAACATGAACAGCCTGAGTTCTTTAGATGTGCCTTCTGACAGGCTGTATGTGTTAGATGTATCTGAGGGTTTCTCCATTTTGCCTTTAATTGCTGCCAAATTGGGTCCAGTTAAAGTTTTTAGTTCCATAGAAAAAGCACAGCAACAAGCTGCATTGAGTACTTTAGCAGAAACAAATGACATTTCAAAAGACGTGTTGGAGTTTTGGCACAACCATCTGCAGGATGATTCTGCAATACTACAAAAGCCTCAATCAGACAAGCTGTGGAGTGTTATTATTCTTGATGCTGTTGAGATGTGTGGACTGGTCCGACAGGGGCTAATGGAAAAAGCAGCTCTAGCTAGGTATGCCACCTTTTGTTCAGATTGTATAAAATATCTCGCTGAACTGCAACACTTGGTAAAAATTACAAATATGGTTTCTGGTCACAAGACTTTGAAGGTGAATCAACCTAGGCACTGAAACTGCTGAAACTGCTCAACCACTTGAGAGCTGGAAGAAGTGCATTCCCTTTATCCACTAGGCCATCAGTGGAATAAGTAGATATCTATAAATCTTTACATTCAAGCAAAATTCTCACAACTTAATCCAATTATCGACTAACTTTGAAAAACCTGTTCATGCTGAAATAGTTGACTTGTTTGTGAAAAGAATTATAATCTCTAAAGGATGTGAACAGGGGTTGACACTGTCAAGATCCTAACAATATAGTGCTTAAGACGTTTCCACATAACATTTTGTGCTCAATCAGACAAGCAAGCAATAGAAAATAAATGCAGCTTCCTTAGTTGTGTTAAAGGGCCGCTCTGGTAAATTGGGTTTGGACCTGAGCTTGCATGTTCAGCAGTAGTTGGAGCCTTCTTGGAACATTCCCTGCTTTGTTGACCAAGTGTGGGTTGTCAGTCGATTGGTGGATTGCTTTTCTGGGGGTAATAATTCCTTCAAAAAAATAATAATTTGGTCACTTAATCCACGACTGTTTGTGGGCACAATTGGCTGCTGCGTTTCGCCCACAAAATATTCAGTCAATTCACTTTACAGTATATCCTGTGAAGCTCTTTGAGACGTCTCAAAGACGTGATAAGGAGTTACATCAAATGCAAGCATTATTATTATTTTTATTATAGTTCACAGGAGCAGAAAGGCTAAAGGCATTCAGGTCTTTATAACAAGAGCATTATCACATTGTTGAGATATCGCAAACGCTCCACAGCATATACTATAAATTAAATTGACTATATTATAATTGACTATTATATATTGTTATATAATTGACTATATTTTGTATTTATGTACCATGAGCTCTTATGTTTCCCACATAAAGATATTGAGTCAAGTCCTTTTTTCCATAGACGTTTGCTTTATCCTGAGGGTAGGCTGTTTCCTCAGAGTATAACAGTATATGGGATGCTAGTGGATTCTGAGACCTTACTGCAAGAGAGTGCTGTCCAAGGAAAAGAACCCACATTAGGATTCAATATTGCACCTTTCATCAACCAATTCAAGGTTTTTCTATATTTTTATATATAATGGAAATGTTTCTACTTATTCAAAACTAATTTTGTAAATGCTTTTGTGAAACTTAGTTTCTGTAAATGTCATTATTTGTTTTAATCTAAAGATTATGAATGTTTGCTTCCCAGGTACCTGTCCATGTCTTCCTAGATTTATCTACATTGCCTTATGCCCGTTTGAGTGAGCCAGTGGAGCTATTGAAGCTGGATCTAATGAACCTCTTTACTGATGATATGAGCAGTGAAATCAAGGTAGAATAATATTAATAATAATCCTTGCATTTGATATAGCGCTTTTCACGTCTTCTAGACGTCTCAAAGCACTTCACAGAATATACTGTAAAGTGAATTGACCGTATATTTGTGGGCGAAACGCGGCAGCCAATTGCGCACAGCAGTGTCCCACGCACGGTCGTGGATTGAAAATAGCAGTTTCATTAAAGAATTTAATTAAATTAAAAGATTAAAGAATACCAGTTGAAGTTCTTAAAAGTAACTTTCAGTGACAAGTTTTGACTCCTTTTTTATGATCAACCACATGTTATGATTCTGTTTGCATAAATGTGAGCAATTGCCATAGTGAAAATCGGTAACTTTTATTGCTATATAAAAGTTAGTTTATTTATTTTAAATTAACAGTATTTCTGTACATTTGTCAATTCACATCAGGGTTATAGTGGGGAAACATCCTCTTACTTTCAGGAAATACTATCTGGAAACCTTGTGAACTCGACAAAAGTAGTTCACATGAGAATGTGATCTGCCTTGTCAGTCACTTCAGAATGTTATGCAGGCTACACATGCACATCGATTATTTTAACACAAAACACACTTATTCTGCCTCAGATTCTTGAGGTACATGGAGCCACTAAGCAAAATAATGTAAAAAAATTGTGAACTTTTCCCAATTATTTTAATTTGAGTTCAGTTTGAATTCATTTTCAGGTGTAAAAGGCTTTGCAACTTTGTGGCTTGCAGTCCTCATTTGTTTTTTTAAAATTATTTTACTTAGTTTGAGTTCTATTTGATTAAACTTGTATTCCCTCACCCCACATGTTTCTGGATGTACTGTATTTTCACCAATTCTGTAATTTCTATGTTCCATAGGTTCAAATCTGTTCTTCGGGGAAGATAACTGCAGTCCCATTTTGGTATGAAATTCACCTGGACACAGATACCAGCCTGAGTACATGGAGTGATACTTCTCATTGGAAGCAAGCTGCTTTTGTTCTGGATATTCCCCTGCAAGTTAAAATGGGAGATGAGCTTTTACTGAAAATTCACTATCACAAGAGTAATATCACAATAACATTAAATCATACTTAGCTGTATTATGAAATGAATTAAAGAAAGAGCAACAAATGTATATCCAATGTACTTTGAAGCAGAAAATGATAGCACTGTATCCATGGATTGACAGGTTAGACAACTGAAAGATAAACTATTACCGCATGAAAGATTAGCAGTTGCAAAGAGATTCTTCCCCTACAAGCAGTCACTATAAAATGGCAATCCCAGGGATTAGTGAGAGGTGAACAAACTAAACTGCAAAAAAAAACACCTTGAGCAAGCAGCAAGATGTTTAATTTAGCAAAAGGCCACCAGCTGATGGAAAATTAGAATTTTGCATTGGTTAAGATAAATCAGGAAAATTTGATTGCCACTTGTGAGACTTACAGAATGTACGTAATGCCTTGTTACCCAACATTCATTAACACTAGTAAAACATTGAAAGGAACTCGATATATGTGTTCTTGAAGTTCTATAGATGAAACTATTTGGATTTGCATTGCCCCATTGAAGGGCATTCTTACAAAACCACTGGATTTTTAAATCCTAATTGTTTTATTTTAATGTGTGAGTAAAACAGGTTTGTGTCTGACAGCTGCGGAAACCCATTATCATGCTTAAGAGAATCTAACAGTTTCACATACGTATTACTAGCTGTACCTGTTGGAGCTACGCGTGGAACCAATTTCATTTAATCAGTCTTCTCTCATCTGGCATTTTCATTTGTCCTTGAAAGGCTTGATCTTCGCTTCTTAGACATCTTAATCCTTAAGATTAAGAAAATGTGCTATTGAACTTGTTAGCATCCCTTGTTCACATATTTGCACACATATCCTGTTGGGAGGACTCCTCTTGGGAGGACTCAGTGGGAGGTCTGGTTGGGGAGGATTCCTGACAAGACATTTTGTCTTTATTAGTATAAATGTATCTCTCTAGAAGGGTGTGTGACCTCAGTCGCCAAACTTGAAGATTGATTTGTTCTCTTTAATGAATTACATAGTGAATCCTGCAGGTTTTTCTTTGCGGATTGAAAGTTACTATTATGGTGCTAATTCCCATTCCACTACAATAGTCTTTCTCTTATTAGGTCCTCCAGTGGAGGATGATGGAGAAATCAATATACTGTAGTCGATGGTAATGTTCTTGCCTCGATTTGATAATTTTTCTATTAGGATGTATCGGTGTTGTAAGTAAGCTGTGAATATGGTCCTACCATAATGGTACTGTCAGTATGTGTGGGTTCTTGATATTTTGGGTAACTCAAGTGTTTAATTTTGGGGGCTTGTACAGAAGTCATCTCAGCTTAGTTTACACCTATCTGTCCTTAATTTCCAATGGATACATGGTTTGATAATTTTCTCATTTTTGCATTTATGCCAAAATGGAAAAATCTTTTGGATGTATGAGGAGTTTCCTGTTAGATGGTTATGGCATTTTTGTTTCATTAATAAAATGTTCCAGATCATTGTTTCACCCAAAACATTAACATGTAATTACATTGTTATGGTAAACAGTTTTTGTATGCAGAACATTTTGTGGCCATTTGTTAAATATGTATTGATTCTAGTTGTAGTTACAATTGTCACTATGTGAAATAATTGGTGAATATAAGAAAATGCTAGTTCTTTGATCAGTTTTTTCACCCACTTGCAGTGTGGAACTTTTATTCATTTTATTTATACTTGTAAAAACTGCCAGAAGTAATTTTAATATGAATGGTAGGCTATAAATGTGATTGAAAATGTCAATAAATATCTTAATTTTCGAATGTTTCTGCAGTCATGTTTTCTGGTAGATGTACTTCTGAATCTGATCATTTTAATATTTATCTGGGGAATTTTAAAAATTGAAGTGACCTAAATGTAAATAGATCACAAAAGGTGGGTTCCCTTCCATTGGTTACAAGTCAATGTCAGACAAGGTATATATGTTTCTGCTCAGCGCAATGGTATTTGCAGATTACCACCACTCTTAGTCAAATGTTGATGTGAAATTTCTTGGAAATGAGAAAGATTAGTGAAAATGAGAGCAAGCGTTGGATAACACACTCCGAAGGGCTTCATTTAATGTGTAATGGAGAAATATTGTATACCACCCAGCTACCAGGAAATATATCCGATCTGTGCAAAATTAACTTATCAAAGGGTGGTGGAGTAACAACTGCAATCCACCTTTAATTGAAATTCATTTCACAATTGATGAGTTGATATTTGTACAATTGAGAGCAAATGGTAATTTGATATCCATTAATCCACCAATCAAATTATCCATGATATTAGTAAATGGTGACTCTTGCAGAAATAGTTACTGTTCTCTCATGGCTTTAGTACTGAATTTAGAGTGCAGCTGGATGCATGTGCTATTTATAGGTACATAATTCATCCACTAACATCAAGAAAGTATTCATCCTACTTTTACCAAACATTAAAACTCCCCCATTGAATGTGATTGAATGGATTCACATGATTGGTACAGGTTATGTACTAAAGTAACTACATTTAACTTTTGGGCTTGTTTTAAAATGCTATGTGCCACACAGATGCAACAATTCAGAGTTTAGTAATTGATAAAAAAATCTGAACTCCAAGATTAGGATCCAATTTACATAACAGCCTTTGCAGAGGATAATATCAGAGCACTGCACAGTGGTGGAGTTGGATGCTGAAAAAGAGAGGTGACAAATACAGTTATAGGATACATTTTTCAGGTGAGATTTAAAGGAGGCAGAGGAATTGAGGTAGAGTTCCAGAGATTAGAGATGTAGAGGCTGAAGGGACAGCCAACAATACTGGTGTGGGGACAGGTCAGAAAGATGGGGGTAGGGGTGCCAAAGGCATCAAGGGATTTGTATGATTGTTAAGATCCTGAAGCCAGTCCATTTGGAGACGGAGCCTGGTGAGAATGGGGGTGGTACGCATACAGTTTTGTATTAGTTAAACCTTGTGGATGGTGGTAGTGGGGAGACCAGGAAGGAGTTCATTTGAGAAATCAATGTGGGAGGTGACAAGCATGGATGAGGGCGTCATGGCATTTAGCATGAGATAGGGTGCAAACTAGTATTTCTATAAAAATGTTGTGATGGTGACATTACCGCTATGAGGGAAAGGCGCTATATAAATGCGTTGTTAAGTTTTATTTTTAACTACCATGAAAAAAAAGCAGACACTTCTAATTCTCAGCACACCTGTAAATACAGGAGCATCTGAAATAGTTCAGAGTATAGATTTACTGTCTGCCAAATATGAACTGCCTGCAATAATGACAAATTACATTTGCATAGCGCCTTTAACATTGGGATAATGTGACAGTATCACACATACTTAATAGAGCTGTATCATTTTAGAAAGGTTCATCCAAATACCAACATTGCTGCTGTTGTAGACAATTTATAGATCCACATCAATTCTCCAACTACTGTAATACAAACTGAAGGCACAAGTTAAGGAAACTCACAAATTTATAGTTTTAAAAAATATTGCCACATGATCTTTATTTTTGAAGTTTTGAAGATAAGCAGTTGGTAAAGGAAGCTTCAGTTAACTAAGTTAAACCGCAGACTTATATAGTTTTGTCATGAACAAAAGCCACACAATTTCCATCAATAGTCCCAACATACACTGTACATGCCACTGAACAAGTTTGATATTTATTGAATATCATAACAGAAAAGGCCACGGCAAAATGTATTCATTTTTGTCACTAGCCTGTTTAACCATGTATAACCACAGTACCATTTTACTAATTCATGTTTCCACAGTAGAATAAACCTTGGTTGTTACTACAGTTCCACAATGACAGATGCGTGGAATTTACTCAAGACTTAAATTTCCTACTAAATCTATTTACAACATTCTGCCATTAAAAGTGCAAAAGCCCCAATGTAGTCAGCTGAGTTTCTCCTTTGTGTTTTGTAACTGAAACTCATTGACAATTACACTAAAAACTGTTAATTAATGGCACCCGTGTCCAGAAAGAACTCCCGTTTTGTTCAAGAAATGAGTAAGCCCACACCCATTAGGAATACAAAGTACAATCACTTCATTTTTAATGTAGCAGCCCAAATATTTGGGCTTGAACAAGAAAGTAGGCAGCAGTAAACTCATGTATCAAATTCTACTGCTTTTTCGAGGACTAACACCTTTAGACCTTAACATGTCAGTAGACTGATACAGCTAGTCACTAAAATGGAATCAGATAGTTAGAGTGGCTGCTTTTTATCAGATTCTACAACAAAATCCAAGTGGTCTGCATCAAAAATATTTATTGAATGTTGGGAGTCAAACTGTGTCGCCACTTTCTAACTGAAGAATCCGTTTTAAAAATGTAGGTTTAAGTAGCCACTGATTTTTTTCACTGCATCCAATTTGCAAACTGGGCGCATTGATTCCCAGACTGCGCTATCAGTTAGATTTTAAAAAAAGCATTAGGACTATATGAAAGCAGGTATTGGTCAAGGACTTGAACATTTATATCCCAAATACAGTACTTATTAATGTTCACAGAATACATTCTGAATAATTTTAATGAAGAGTGAAAGTAAAGGCTTAAATTGTGCAGTACCAACACTGCATTTTAAAATCACAACTCAAGGTCTTTGGTAGTCCAGTGCACAGTACATTAGCTTAACACATCGCACCAAGGCTTATAGACACAGTCTCGTGCGAGCTACATTTCTAATCCCCATTATAATTGGAACCATTTAGAAATTTGGGATTGAAAGTGCGAAAATCAACCTCATCATCTCTTCAAAACTGAACAGAGAATAAAAAGACAAGGAACCAACATGTGCTTATTTTTAATTACTCACAATGCAGTGGTACTAATCACATTGGGAGAATGTTTCAAAGAGCTTCACAGGATTTACTGTAAAGTACAGTGACTGAGCACAGTAATGTACCACAAACAGCCATGAAGTAAATTACCACCTTTCTCTGGAAGACTGTTGGCCAGGACTCCAGAAGTAGCTCCTTTCTCTTTTTGAACAATGCCGGGGGATTTTTTATATCCACCTAAACAGACAGACAGGATCTTAATTTAACATCTCAACCAACATCCACAATGCAGCGCAGTCCCACTCAGTAATGCATTGGAGTGTCAACCTAGACCACAAGTTCAAAATTCCAACATGAGGCTTTAACCCACACCTTTCTGATTTAGAGGCAAGAATGCACCAACTGAGTTAGGCAAACACCCATGGTATTATTTGAAAAGACAAGTGAGTTTCTCCCAATCCTAGCTAACAATCTGCCAGATAAAATTGGTTATTAACTTCATGGCTTCCTCTAGGGCATTGTTGTGTGCAAAATTGGCTGCTGTGTTTGCCCACAAAACACACAATCAATAAATTGTACAGTAAACCATGTGAAACGTTTTGAGTCATTTGGACAATGTAAGAAGCTATATCAAATACAAGGATATTTCTTCATTATAAATTAAGGTCTGTTTTGTAATTGGCAACCATGCTCACACGGAATTGTTTTAAGACATTACAGTGAGCTTGCAAATTCAGTCAGTATTCACCACCTAGATTCTTAATTAGGAATTCAAACTTACAAACTATCACTACTGTCAGTCACTGAAAATATGCTCTAAAATAGATTGCAGCATTCCCACAGTTCAGCATCATGCACTTCTGGTTACTGGCAGGAGTTGCCATTTTTAAATCCAGAATATGTCACCCCAATATTTCTGGTGCAAAGTTTCTGGGTTTCATATATTTTAAACACCGGATCTTGAAGCAGCAGAAATCTTAAAAGATATAATGAATGATTATAGTTTAATCTGGAGATAAAAGTACCTTTTGATTCTAAGATTAATGCAGCTTTTACCATTGACAATGTGCAAGTTTAAGATCCCAAACAATCAATTTTTTCGGAATTCAATCATTAAATAAACTATTGAAAAAAAAATATTCAATCCTGAAATAAACATACCAAAATTCAATTTGTTATTATGAATTCCAGCACTTTGCTTCTCTTGGGTGTGTACAGTGGAATTTCACTGTATTCAAAGTGTACAGAGATTCAAATTGAATTCTTACAAAATAGATATGTTTCAACAGTGTGAGTCAAAGGCGGGTCAAAAGGAATTAATTGCTATTGAGAGTTAAAGTGACTTGTACTACTGGTTAAAAAATGAAGTTAACAATTAATCATGAGTTGCCATTGTATGGCAGGACTGACTGTAAAAATAGCCTGAGAATTCACAAATAAACTGGCATCAATGTTCAAACTACGGGAGTAATCTTAAAAACCTAGCGCATTGATCATACAAACCTCTGGACAGTAACTTAGCATTACTGCCATCAAGTCAATGAATGTACACTATTGTACACAATATTTTCGAGTAATCTTGTGTGATTATGTCATCTTTGTACTATGAATTCCACAACTTAGTTTCTCTTGGGTATTTTGGTCAATATTTACCTTAATTCAGTCAGTTTTTTTAAATTTAATATACTGTACAATATTAAGGTTTTTAAATATGGTTAAAAACTTTGAGTTGAGTTCAGACATAAAGCTCATTTTGTGCTTAGTATTTCCTATACCAACACAAGGTTGACCTCAAGCCAATGTCTTCATGTCAAAAGGTCAAGAAATTATATGATTATTTTGATCAGAGCTTTCCTGTGAATTGTTAGGCACAACATTTAGGGAATCTTCATATTCTTGCTCCCTGATAGAATTCTCAATAGTGTCATTCACTGAAGGTATCTGATCAGGTGCAAGAGATGCATGAGTATTCCCAAACCCTTGGTAGTACCCCATGGGAGATGCCGGGAGAGATGGGGTATCAGAGTTGAGGTCCTGGCTGGCTGAAGAAAGAAGGCTTGTGTGTTCATTGTGCTCCTCTTGTGTAACATTTGTTTTCCTTGGACGTCCCAACACTGTCCTACCTTTAAGAAAAAATTACGAATACAGTAAGATCACAGATTTCAGTTACAACTCAACAGGCAAATGTTTGAGATGCAACAAGATATACTTTTTCAGAATTTGATTACTAGATTTTAGAATATTTTTATATGTTCAGTTAAGAGGCAAGCTATGAACTAATGGTAACACTTAATTGAATTTACATTTAGCAACAGTTCTAATCAATCTCATAAGTGGAAATTTCAGCCGGACCCCATTATAGCAGATAATGGAATTGGAAAAGTCCTAGATGACAACAATAACTTGCATTTATATAGCGGCCTTCACGTGGGATAACGTCCTGGAGCGCTTGACAGTGATGGAATCTGACACCGATGCAACAACAAGAACAACTAAATTACATTTGTATAGCGCCTTTCACGTCAAGAGGACATTCTAAGGCGCTGCTCCAGGGGAGAGGGATGGGCGAGGTGACCATAAGCACGATCAAAATGGAAGGTCTTGAGGCGGAATTTGAAAGGGGGCAAGGCATAAGGGTTGAAGGAGAGAGTTCCAGAGTTTTCAAGTGTAGTGGCTGAAGGCACAGCCACCGATGGTGGAGTGGAGGGGACGAGGGACAAACAGGAGGCCGGAGCTGGCCAAGCGGAGGCAGCGGGTGGTGGGATAAGCAAATCTGATAGGTAGGGAGATGTGAGGGCATGAAGGGATTTGAACGAGTGAGAGGATCTTGAAATCGACCCGTTGAGTAATTGGGAGTTAGTGGAGCCTGGTAAGGACTGGTGTGATGGGGGTAGTTTTGTGTGGGTGAGTATCCAGGCGGTGGAGTTTTGAATGAGTTGAATTTTGTGTATTGTGGAGCTGGGGAGACCAGCGAGCAGGGCATTGGAACAGTCCAGCCGGAAGTGACAAAGGCGTGACGAGGGTTTCCGCTTCTTTGTTTGTGAGGTACGGATGGAGGCAGGCAACGTGATGGGAAGTGGAAAAAAGGGTCCTGGTCAGGGATCAGATGTGGGGTAGAAAGGAAAGCTGGGGATCGAACCTGACGTCTAAATTGCACAGGGTTCGGTTAGTCAGCAGGAGCGATGACGTTGAGGGGAGCCAAATAGTACGGCTTCCGTCTTGCCAACATTCACCTGCAGGAAATTTGCACTCATCCAGGCCTTGATGTCTGTCAAGACAAACTGACAGAAAATCAACAGACATTTGGGTGTTATCCGAATACATGTGAAAGTTGACCCCATGTCTGCGGATGACATCGCCAAGAGGGAGCATGTAAAGGATGAAAAGAAGGGCGACAAGGATGGAGTCCTGGGGTACCCCACAGGGGCAGGAGGAAATACCATTTGCCAAGATTCATTTTTGGGGGGTGGTTAAATAGGACTCGAACCAGGTGAGTGCGGTCCCACTAAGGTGGATGAGGGACGAGAGGCTTTGGAGGAGGATAGCATGATCGATTATGTCGAACGAGGCGGAGAGGTCCAGGACAAGGAGGCAGACGAGCCCTGGTCACAGAGAGGATGTCATTTGGTACTTTGACGAGCACTGGCTCTGTGTTGTGGGCAGCGCGAAAACCAGACTGGAGATCCTCAAGTAGGGAGTGGAGGGAGAGGTGTGAGCGAAGTTGATTGGCAACATCGTGTTCCAAAACTTTGGCCAGGAAGGGGAGGTTTGAGATGGGTCTTAAGTTTGTGAAGTTGGAGGAATCGAAGGTTATTTTTTTATGAAGAGGAGTGATGACAGTGGTTTTGAGGAGTGGGACAGAGCCTGAGGAGAGGTACTGGTTGAATGTGTCAGCCAGCAGTAGGCAGAGGAGGGGAAAGTTGAGTGACCATAAGCTAGGTGTGGAGGGGTTCGAGGCAGCAGGTGGTGGGCTTCATACAAATGATGATGGGAAAGAGAGGAGGGAGAGATGGGGGCCAAAGGAGTGTTGGGTAGGGGCAGTGGTAGGAGGAGAGGGTGATGGGGGGAGGAGGCAGCCAAGCGAATGTTATCTATCTTAGAGATAAACAAGTCCAGGACCTCTTTGGACTTGGCAACTGGTGAGGATCGAGGGTGTTTGAGAGGGACGTGGCGAGATGCTGGGTAGTGGAGAACAGGATTCCAGAGTTGGCATTCTTGCACCACAAGCATCAACCCAAGGTTTTCCACCTTAAATTATAATAGTGTTTACAAAAAGGTTGCGAATGAAAGTGAGTGAATTATTGGAACAAAACTTGAGTGACTTCCTTACCAACATTCCGAACCTGTTCCGATATATCTGCTCTAATGTCAGAGATATCCCACATAGCAAGGAAAGAATCCAAGCACGAGCCTTCCTCAGCCTCCTGCACGTATGGTTTGTAGGAAAAACTGTAGTGATGGCCAATCGCAGCAAAGAACATTTCAACACAAATCACAAAATCCTGGGGAAACAATGTTTGAAATTAAACCGCTTTGTTTTGGGTTTTCCATTGCTTAACTACATTCATCTCAAAACATGTTAATTACATTTTTCCTTCACTAGTGATTATAGAATCTCAAATTAATATGATCCAATATTTTTCTACTTTAATAGTTTGACACAGATTTATTTATACTGACAGAACTACACACCAAATTATTCCAGAAAAAAAGGAATCCTGACAAACAATTTGAATCATGTACACTAAATGGATTTTCATTTTGAGAGGCACAAGCTTTGAGATTCTATTATCACTAGCAAAAGAAAAAAAAGTAAATGGAAAATCACCAGTGAAGGTTTCCATACAAAGAATAATTTTACATTTATTTGCAGTGTTGAGAAGTCAGAATTAATGCAAGCTGCAGAGTCTAACAGCAAAATCTATTATAATAAATATTCGGCAGCACATCCTTAAGAGAGTCACTTATTCAGGGCTTCTCCTACACACCCATTTTGAAAGTGTTATTGCAAAGACAAAACAATTATGAAGCAAGGTCAGAGTTTTCAGTAGTAAGCCATCATTACTTTCTAAGAGATGCAAAGAATTTGTTCAAATTGAATAAGATTTTTTTATGCATCAACTATCTTACAGAGAATATTTGATTGTCATGTAATTTTAGTTGAACACGCAGTCAATTTGCACCCAGCAATATGACACACACAGCAAAATGAGTGACCAATTTTATCTGGCCAAATGTTAGCGTGGAAACTGGGAGAAACTCCCTTCTCTTTTCAGGAAGAGGATGAAAGAAGGAAGATATGGGATACAAGTCCAGATAATAGTCCTGTGCATAAACCAATATTAAATTGTGTATCAGCATAAACAAAATCAGAAAGTCCAGATGAGTAATGCTGAAGGTGAGCGGTATCAATGCTAGGATAATGAGCGGTTTTCCATTTTGGCCTTTATATTTACAAAACAATGCAGTCCCTGGTCAGGCACATCAAAACCAGACAGTGTGAAGCTCTCTCTTATTTCTGTTTCTACAATGTGCCTTAATCTCCAACCACAGAAGAACACTCCTACTGCAACAGGGTTAAACGTTTCCATTTCCCACACAAATTGTTTCCCATACATTAAGAGAAATCACAAAAGAACTCTTGGCGAATCACACACTCTGGTTGAGTGCCCAAGACAGTCAATTTTACTCATCTCTGCTGTTACCATTGATAGAATAACGAAAGTCACGGAAACATCGACTTGCACAAAGTGAACTGTACAGTGTCCAGCCTCCCACTTTTAAACCAATCCAAATCCTAAAGACTTACATAAATAATGCAGCCTGAAGCCTAACAGGGCTGGCATCAATGCCTCTACACTACAGGAACTCAACAACATTACTAGGTAATCAGCGACAGTTCAGTATTGCTATACCCTATAGTAAACATGAATTGTAGCTGATTTCCTACTGTAGAGGCATTGATGCCAGCTGGAGCACACTAACAAACATCAGACAGTTCAGACCAGATTAGGGGTTGAATTTGGGACTTCCCAAATCTATATCCAAGCCATGAAAAGAGTTTGGAGAACTATTCACTGTTTGACTATTGCATAAATTGGTACAAGGGTATTTTTAAGGCACAAATGTGAAAATGGGCAAGTTTGTGAGGACCCTGCAATTAACCCTTTTTAAACTGAAGCAACATGTGTGAAGCATTTAGATTCCAAGATGTACCTGTAATCCAGTGGCCACAGCTTCTACACTTTCCCAATCCCAAGTACGTTTTTCAGATATTACACCAACCTTCACAAGCAGTGCAATCAAAGCAGCTTGCCTAAAATGGGAGACAAAAATAGTTTTTACACAAGTATGAAAGACAATAACGACTCTTTAATTATGAATACTCCAAGGCACTACCGTACATGACGGTTGCTATATGAGTGCTATACAAGTACAGACAAACAAAAGGAAGATTAATCTGAGTTACACTAAAGAATTCTTGTTCTTTCTAAAATTCAAATTGTAAGACAGTTCTTAATACTTCTCCTCCACCCCAATTTCACTTAGCCCTTAAAGCAAAAACGAAAGTCAAAACAATTGATAAGTTTAGAAAAAAAAATTGTTCAGTTACCAGAAGGACACGAAGACAACCAGTTTCACACAGAGGAACTTGCCAACAGGTCGGATGGGGTTCAGTTCTTCACGTAGTACTTTATAAAGCAGCACAAGACAATACATAGCAAACTGTGAAACAAACAAACAAGTTCAAACCTTCAACAAAAGACTTTTATGCATTCATAGTACAATTGAGAATGTACTGTACAGCAAATCCAAATTCAAATAGACAACACTTTTTTGCTGCTGATTTTGTCCCCTCCTAAAGGTGCTGCTTTACTTTTAGATATCCTGAGGTGGCAGAACAAGATGGCAGAAGCAGGTTCAGGGATGCTAAGGACAATTTCAGAACAGACACCAGGAAGTGTTTACGCAGAGAGTAATTCCATGTTGAAAGGGCATCTCAAAGTGCTTCAAAGGATTTACTGAAAATGCTGTGATGATGTATTTTGATGGCGAACAAGCAGTCAATTTTCACACAGCAATGTGACACACACAGCAAGTGAGTGACCAATTTTATCTGGCCAAATGTTGGCGTGGACACTGGGAGAAACTCCCTTCTCTTTTCAGGGATAGGGTGAAAAAGAAAGATATGGAATACAAGTCCAGATAATAGTCCTGTGCATAAATCAATATTAAATTGTGAATCAGCATAAACAAAATCAGAAAGTCCAGATGAGTAAACTTTAAAATAATTTTGCAACAGACAAGGACATAACACAAAGAAAAATACTGTACAACTTACTAGTTGTGAAAGATTATTAATGATAACCAAGTACGTCCAAGCATTTTTGAAGCTGAAGTTCCCTTCATCGTAAACTCCGACGAGCTCGCAGATTCTTTGGAAGGAGAAAAAAATGTTAGGCTAGAAATACCTTACACAATTTCCCAACCTATCCAGATGCTAATGGTGGAATTCTAAAAGTAGAGGTAGAAAAAGAAAAGCTCACAGTTGTAGCATTCACGCTTGCCTGGAAATTAACATAACATGTAGGAGCAGGAGTAGGCCATTCGGCCCTTCGAGCCTACCCCGCCATTCAATCATGGCTGATCTTCTAACTTAACTCCAGCTAATTAGTATTGGAACTGTCTGGTTTGCATCACTTCTCAAAACTGTTCCAGCTACAGACAACAGAATGCCTATTCAGCGGTTCACTGGGACAAGAATGCACTGCAGCCTAATAAATCAACTACTGTATTGCCGGAACTCATTTAAGAAAGTCCCAATTCAATTCCGACCTCAAACACCAAACACAGTAGATTCACTTCCCTTCTCTCAGAGTGTTAATGGCTTAACGCTGGATTGCCAGATAAAAAATCATGGTTGCACAGCAATGCATTTTAGATAAAAGGAACAGCTACAAGACGACTTTCAATCAGAGCACATCTTTTGGTTCATCATAGATTCCCTCCCCGAAGAAGCTTGTGGCAAACCGTCCTGTTCTTCAGGTTTAACAAGGCAGCGCAGTGAAAATCTAACATAGCCAACTAGGGATAATACCAAAAAAGGAAAATCTGTAATTTTACTATATATCAGAAAATAATCGTTATATTTGATATAGCACCTTGTTAGGTCATCTCTGGTGTGACTGACAGCTTCGAGAGTGAGAACAAGCAACATCCCCTGATGAAGTATATGCCAGCAGTCCTGGCCCCAGGCTGCCCTAATATTAGCTAGAGTGAGAAGTGTCTGCTTCCCTATTGATTGTCTTGCCGTCAATTATCGTTCTCCCCCAGCTGTGTCCTGCCCAATCGTTGAATTTTTTTCACTGCCTACAGTTCAGAGGAAGAGAGTTGGGCAACGACACAGCATACGCTTCCCTGAGAATGGTTTTCAATTCACTTTATTAAGATCAGACACAAAGAAGCTTTTTTTAAACCAGTATGACAAATCTGTAGCTCCACATACAAGGCATACTGCTGCACAAAGAAAATGTGGGACTTTCATTGCACCTATGGTTATCTTCTATGCAACATGCTATCAAGTGTTCGTGTACAACACACAACTAATTGGCCATTTGAGTTTGGACTACAAACTGACATTTCCTACTGCCAAGTTTTGTTGTTAAGTCTGCTACGATTTCAAAGTGTTTCTGTTCACACCACGATCCCCAGACAGGAAGAGGAACATATGGTTTGATATCACACGATAAGAAGGAAGTTGTAGCTCATTAGCAAATTACTTTTTTAAAATGAAAATGGAGCACAAAGTCAGTTAATTTTGGCTATCAAAATATAAACCCACAAAAGGCAAGGTTGAGTAAATATGGTCTGACCATTTTCTATAATAATCCTTACCTTGATATGGCATTTGAGGACATCTCAAAGCACTTTGCAGGATTTTACTGTAAAGCGTAGGAACTGGATACTTTGATAGTGAACTTTGCTGAGGTTGAATTGATCACATGTGAGGATGGATGAATATTTAAAAGTTTTTGCCCAATTACATTTGAATTAGAGATGTACATAAGTGAATCATTCAAAAGAAACTGCCTAAGGCCAAACAGAAAAACTACCACAGATATCATCCCAGTTCTAAAAGTACAGTATAATTAAGGCTTCTGTTTTTTAGGGTTTCAAATTTTCATGGGGGGGGGGTTACTTTTAGCAATTTTCAAGTTCAAAAAAAATCAGATTTTCGGGCTTTCACTTAATTGTAATGAGAAGATTCAGGGACCTGTGCACACATGCACAGTGCCTCCCTCCTCTCACAAACGTGTCATGAGACACATCTGTGCACACAGAGAAGAGAGGGAGAGGCAGAGAGTGAGAGTAACACAAATGCAGTTGGTGTCAGGGTAGGTGTTTTTCTGGTGTTTATTGGATGCACACTAATTTCATTTTTTTGTATCCGGGGTGTTTTAACAACTTTTATTGGTTACAAACGAAAATCAGAAAACGTACATTTAATTGCAGTATAAGACTCATTATTATGAGACAGTACTTACAGTGCAATTATGGTTGTAAACGGCCTGACCACCGTATACTGTAGAACTCCAAGCTTACATCTGAACAGCAACACTCTACCGAAGAAAACATAGGGAAACAGGAAGTAATCAGAAATAGCATTTCTTTATTGTAACACGCACGATTTTGGAACAGTATAAGCAATGGTAATCACAACACTTGATGATGTACTAACCTTTTGTTTGGGTAATACAGAATTGGGAAATAAAGTAGAATACAACCAGATTATACCCATTTGCAAGCCAATTGCATTTCACCATTGCATCAAAACTTTGGGTGATTGTGAAGCCATCAATTCGATACTGCTCAAAACATAGACAAACTGGAAAAATATAAACTTCTTAAAAGAGCACATTGGAACCTGAATGTTCTGTGCTATGGTGTATAGGATTGTGACTATTTACGGGGTCTGCTACACTTGGTCAGATTTGCAACACTCTCATATTGGATTTCCAAACAGCGTTGATCTACTGAGGAGGAGGCAAGCAGCACAGGGCAGCTATTCCTCCACAAAGGAGTAAGGAATCTGCCCAATTCACTTTAACTTCTGGCATCAGCCAGCAGCTGGTTTCAGAGCAGCATTTTTTTAATGCCTTGGAGCAATATGCTGTGTTGTCTACGATGAAGAGGGGGTTTAGGTGGAGGAGTAGCAGAAAGGAGAATCCCCAGAACAGAAACAAAATAGCTGAAAAGGTCTCACTCCTAAAATGATTGGATGGAAGTTATTTGAGGGAAGGGTGAAACTGTTTCATTTTCAGAAGAAAAAAAAAGGTGGGAAATGAAAAGGAGAAAAAGGAATTTGTTTAAAAAGCGGCCAAACCAGGGGGGAATTTCTCAATCTACATAATGTATAACCAAACTTACAGGCGAGAGATTTTTTTTGGTAGTAGAATTATTCTAGTCAGAAAACTAGAAGGGCTTGTATAAATTCTTTATTTTGAACAGATTCGAAACCTAGGGCTGAACACATCACAATTGCAGATTAAGACAAATATAAACATACAGCAAACTCCTGATAACTCGACCCTGGCTTAACTTGTCACTACCACTCAAGTCATCATACTGTCAATATCGTGTCCACATTTACGTATTTATACATGTGCCTAACTCGCCACTCCGGATAACTCATCTTTGAGCCCTTTTCCCTTGGAGTGACGAGTTACCAGCAATTTACTGCATCTCAAACATGACAGGAAATTGAAACAGGGAGAGGGGCAAAGAGATAAATATGAGACAGAGACAGGTTTCAAGCACCCATTTAGATCCAGTTGAACTGCTGCTAAATTTATAAATATTGTTAGTTCCATCTCCAAAGTAACTTCTAACTTTGGTCAACTTATACTTTTGTTTAAAAAAAGGAAAAGCCATGAATTACGTTAAAGAAAATGCATAAAATTGAAGCATTTCTACTTACTCGCCCATATGCCAAGACGGACAGCAGCAGAGAGGGGGTAGATGTTTCTGCTGATCTTTAGCTTCCAGCATTATTACCAAATTCGGATATTGATAAGTTAAATAGTTGAGCAGGAAAACCATGAAGTTATAGATGACATAGGCTTCGTAGCATTCTCTGCACGTGTCAACATATATTGCAATATGAGGATATTTCAAGGCTATCCACTGATCAGAAGAAAGAAAATATTGTCGGTTGAAAGTAAACACTGCAGTATAGCACACAACCTTCAACGATCAAATTATCGAATTCTAAGTACGTTAGGACTGCAGTTTACAAATTCGAGCCCAAGACAACCAACCTAATGATGTCCCCATAGCTTCGACATTAGATGCAGAATTCCAGAATGTCTATCTTTTCAGATCATCCATTTCCAATGAAGGCATTAATTTAAGTCCCATTTGTCTTGTGATTTGGGCAGATGTGAAAGTCCCTCTGTTTAAGCTATTTTGGTTTTTAACTATTCTAATCGTTAAAATAGTTATCTATCAATAATAAATTCCTGTACAAATATCAATGACTGTAGATTCCGCAGTAGTGGTCTAATTCAATTTGACCAAAGATGTAATTATCACAATATATTCAACATTGTTTTACATGCCAGGGTGTAACAATTGGAAATGTTTAAATAACAGAACAGTTGTACAGTCATCAAGGATTGTACAAAAACAACATTCTTTATAATACAGTTCTTGCTTTGTCAGTAGGCTTCTTAATGGTAAAGGAACAATGCATTTTGGTGAAATACCCAAACACCAACAAACAAGAATATAAAAAGAACTTACACTGTCCAAAGTGTAAATAGGCACCATCCATAGAATCCTGTAGATCAAAACAATTAGTATGACAATTACTATTTTCAAACCTTCTATATTTACTGAATTCAACAACATGATTACATTTGTATAGCGCCTTTCATGTTGGGAGGACGTCCCAAGGCGCTGGACAGTGTACAGCATTTCAGACCCGAGCTGGGGTCAGGGGGTGAGAAGGGAGGGAAAGGGGGGAGTGACCGAATGGCATGGTCGAAGAGGAGGGTTTTGAGGCGGGACTTGAAGGAGGCTAAGGAGGGGGTGAGGCGGAGTGACTGGGGGAAGGAATTCCAGAGGTTGGGGACAGAGTGGCTGAAGGCTCTCCCGCCACTGGTGGGGCAGGGGACGTGGAGCAGGCCAGAGCCGGCTGAGCGGAGAGAGCGGGCGGGTTGGTAGGGGTTTAGGAGGTCGCAGAGGTAAGGTGGGGCGAAGCCATTGAGGGCTATGTAGGTGAGGACCAGGATCTTGAACTGGATCCTCTGAAGGATAGGGAGCCAATGGAGTCGGGCGAGAATGGGGGAGATGGGGTCATGGAGTTTGATGCGGGAGAGGACACGGGCTGCAGAGTTCTGGATTATCTGCAGCCTGTGGAGGGAGGAGTTGGGAAGGCTGACAAGCAGGGAGTTTGCATAGTCGAGCCTGGAGGTGATGAAGGCATGAACACGAGTTTCAGTGGCCTGAGGGGTGAGGTAGTGGCGGAGTCGGGCGATGTTACGGAGGTGAGGGAAGGCAGAGCAGGTCATGGCTTGGATGTGGGGGAAAAAAGACAGTTGAGGGTCAAATTCACAAGATTTATAACAGACAAAACCAAAAACACAGTGGGTACCTTATTATGGGTTTCTGTAATTCTGGTTGAGTGTAATGCACTAGATGCTGCAAGATGCCCCAAAGGGATATTGGAATTGTCATAAATACAAAGATCCCAGCAATGAACCAGGCTTTATTGTGAGTTCCCACCTTTATTTTAATAAAAAAGAAAAACATTACTCCAAACGCCATGGCTTGGAAAACATACTAAAATGTAAAATGGTTACATAAAAAATTGCAATTATGAATTCAGTGATTGGGGGCAAAAACGCTCATGTTAACTACACAAAACAATTTAGTTTCCGAATTCACATAAATGACAACATAGATTAGTATATTTAGTTTAAGATGTAGTAAGATACCCTGAAGTGATTACAAGACATTTCATCTGTCATCAAGGGTTGGAAAGGCACAACACTAGACCTCAAGATGAAGGCACAACGTTAAACCTCATTATTATTTATGGTTTATTTCTCCCTTCTGGTATCTATTCAAACTTTAGGACCAATCAAGTATCTTCTGATTCTACATATTTCCTTCCACATTCTAGTCGCGCTTTCAGCTACTACGGCCCCAATTTTGGAACACGCTTTCTCTATCCCTCCGCCTTACCCCTTCCGTCCCCATTTTCAGGTCGTGCCTGAAGACCTTCCAATTTGACGGTGCCTACTGTCAACCCCCCTCCCCCAACTCAGCGTTGCTCTCCGCCACTGTCAAGTGCTTGCTTTGGGATGCTGCCCTGCATGAGGGGCACTATATAAATACAAATTGTTGTTGTCGTAGGGCCCAGTCTTTTTATACACAGGTGTCATTGATATTCCTGCCACGAACGTGTGATTATATGGACAATGAACGATTAACAATTGATATTGTCAAAGCTGCTTGGAAGCAAGTCACTACATTGCAGAAAAACTAACATTTCTTTGGTAAAACTTCTGATCATGTTCCAGTATATTCTTTACAGTGAGTTAGAAGTGTAACGGATCAACTCAAACAATTTTTTTTTTTACTGTTACATCAGACAGCCTTATTACACTCACTTTTGTTTTGTGAAAAAAAAAGGAAACGTTTTACCTGGAATTTCTGCAGCTCCCAGACACAAAGAGGAACGGCAACCACAACACCCACAATGTACAGGACCACCACCAGAGGACGGATCCACCGCCTCCAGTTCCCACATGTGCACGGCATGGTTTAACTGTACTTCTGCAAGAACTTCCCCAAAACCTTTAACACTTTCAATCAGCACCTGCACCAACCCACATAATTCACAAGCAAACACTAACTGCACTGTCAGCCCCACTGACTGCCACTCTCCTGTGGCAAACACTTTTCGGTTTACCCGCAGGCACTTTGTGGCATCACTTGCAAAAGGCACCACCCACCCTCCCCTCCCCTCCCCAGCCACCTTCACTGCAACGTGGGCACCCTGTGACCCTGCACCACCCCGACCCCAGGCACCAGGTGCAATGGGGGCACCTTCATTCACCACCAACCGGCTCTGTCTCCCTCCCTCCCTCCCTCTGCTAACCTCCCTCCCTCTCTCTCTGCTCCCTCCCTCTGCTAACCTCCCTCCCTCCCTCTCTGCTCCCTCCCTCTGCTAACCTCCCTCCCTCCCTCCCTCTCTGCTCCTCCCTCTGCTAACCTCCCTCCTTCTCTCTCTGCTCCCTCCCTCCCTCTCTGCTCCCTCCCTCTGCTAACCTCCCTCCCTCCCTCCCTCTCTGCTCCCTCCCTCTCTCTCTGCTCCCTCCCTCTCTCTGCTAACCTCCCTCCCTCTGCTCCCTCCCTCTCTCTCTCTCTGCTCCCTCCCTCTGCTAACCTCCCTCCCTCCCTCTCTCTGCTAACCTCCCTCCCTCCCTCCCTCTGCTCCCTCCCTCTCTCTCTGCTCCCTCCCTCTGCTAACCTCCCTCCCTCCCTCCCTCTCTGCTCCCTCCCTCTCTCTCTGCTCCCTCCCTCTCTCTGCTCACCTCCCTCCCTCCTCCCTCTGCTCCCTCCCTCTCTCTCTCTCTGCTCCCTCCCTCTGCTAGCCTCCCTCCCTCTCTCTGCTAACCTCCCTCCCTCTGCTCCCTCCCTCTCTCTCTCTGCTCCCTCCCTCTGCTAACCTCCCTCCCTCCCTCTCTCTGCTAACCTCCCTCCCTCCCTCCCTCTGCTAACCTCCCTCCCTCCCTCTGCTCCCTCCCTCTCTCTCTCTCTGCTCCCTCCCTCTGCTAACCTCCCTCCCTCCCTCCCTCTGCTAACCTCCCTCCCTCCCTCTCTCTGCTAACCTCCCTCCCTCCCTCTCTGCTCCTCCCTCCCTCTCTGCTCCTCCCTCCCTCCCTCCCTCCCTCTCTGCTCCTCCCTCCCTCCCTCCCTCCGGGCCGCACTCGGGAGCTCTCGGGTGTCTCTGCTCGGACCGCGGCCTTCGGGATCTGGAGACGACGACGACGACAACAACAACAACAACGCCGCCGCCGCCGCGTGACCAGAGCCTTCAAACAAACCAGACAAAGGGCCCGAGGACCGGCCCCGCGGACGACGCCGACTCCGCGGCTTCGGGCGGGGCCTAGTCCGGCTGGGAGGACCCCGGGGCGAGCGGCTCTCCCGCGCTATAGCCGCCGCTCGGTCCTGGCCCTGTCCGGTCGGTCCTGTCCTGTTCGCAGTGCGGGACACCAAACCCGACCCCCTCTCCCCGACTCGCTCTGCGCCGCTGAAAACTCCCCCGCCCCCGCCCCGCGCTCCCATTGGCTGCCGGCGAGGCCCCCCCCCCCAAGGCCCGCGCGCCGCGCTGTGTGTGGTCCATCTCGCTGTCAATCAGCCCGCAGACCCCGCCCCCCCCGCTCCCTGACCCCGCCCCCCGGCAGCCGAGGTGACGCTGGCCCGCGCTGCGCGCCCACCTGTAAACAGTGCGAGCGCTGATCACGTGAACAACAACAACAAGAACAAGATTCCATTTATAGAGCGCCTTTCACGTCGGGAGGACGTCCCGAGGCGCTGTACAGTTGGGTCAGGACCCGAGCATTGGGGGGGAAATGGTCAGGGTGAGGGGAGGGAAGGGAGGGAGCGAGGAGGGGAAATGGTCAGGGTGAGGGAGGGAAGGGAGGGAGCGAGGAGGGGGGAAATGGTCAGGGTGAGGGAGGAAGGGAGGGAGCGAGGAGGGGGGACATGGTCAGGGTGAGGGAGGGAAGGGAGGGAGCGAGGAGGGGGTAGAGAGTCGAGAGGGGAGCTGAAGGCACGGTCAAAGAGAAAGGTCTTGAGACCGGCCTTGAAGGAGGAAAGGGAGGAGGCGGCGAAGGCACTGGGGGATGGAGTTCCAGAGCCTCGGGGCTGAGAGGCTGAAAGCCCGACCACCGATGGTAGGGCGGTTGGGGCGGGGGATGTGGAGCAGACCGGAGCCAGAGGAACGGAGGGTACGGGCGGGTAGGTAGGGGGATAGTAGGTCAGAGAGGTAGGAGGGAATGGCCTTGTAGGTGAGGATGAGGATCTTGAATTCGATCCTCTGGGGGATGGGGAGCCAGTGGAGGCGAGCGAGGGTGGGAGTGATGTGGTCCCGAAGCCTGGTGCGGGACAGTACACGAGCTGCAGAGTTCTGAATGACCTGCAGCTTGTGGAGGGACCTGAGCACCATCCCCACTGCTGGGCATAATACACACTGTGTTGTGCATAATACACTGTACTGGGCATAATAATAATAATAATAATAATCCTTGCATTTGATATAGCGCTTTTCACGTCGGGAGGACGTCCCAAAGCGCTTCACAGAACACACTGTAAAGTGAATTGACTGTACATTTGTGGGCGAACGCGGCAGCCATAATACACTGTGCTGGGCATAATACACTGTGCTGGGCATAATACACTGTGCTGGGCATAATACACTGTGCTGGGCATAATACACTGTGCTGGGCATAATACACTGTGCTGGGCATAATACACTGTGCTGGGCATAATACACTGTGCTGGGCATAATACACTGTGCTGGGCATAATACATACTGTGTTGGGCACAATACCCACTGTTCTGGGCACACAGGGCACAATACACACTACTGAGTACACAGGGCACAATACATACTGCTGCGCACAATACACACTGTTGGGCACAATTCACACTGTGCTGGGTACACAGGACACAATACACACTGCTGGGTACACAGAGCACAATACACACTGCTGGGTACACAGGGTAAAATACACACTGTGCTGGGCACATACGGCACAATACACACTGCTGTGCTGGGTTTACAGGGCGAAATACAGAGATGCACTGTGCTGGGGTAGACAACGTAATGCACAGGCTGTGCTGAGTAACATAAGATAATACAGAGGCTGCACTGTGTTGGTGTGTTCAACAACATCAACAAATTGCATTTGTATAGCGCCTTTCCTATCGGAAGGACGCCCCAAGACACTGGACAGTCAAGGATTTGTACTCAGTGAAGCAGCAAAATGCTTCACAGAATATACAGGAGATAATACACAAGCTGCACTGTGCTGGGGTACCCAGGGAGTAATACACAGTCTGTACTATTGCACAAACAATCATCCTTACATTTGAAATAGAGCCTTTCACATCGGGAGGACGTATCAAAGTGCTTTACCAAACATACTGTAAAATGTAATGACTGTGTATTTGTGTAATTCACAGGCTGCATCGTGCTCCATTACACAGGGACACATTAAACATTACACATTACATATACAGCCTGTGCTGTGGTGTTATACAAGTAGTAATTCACAACCCTGTTGCACTTGGGCCATCAATGGAAGAGATTAACAATTTGCCAAAATAAATTTTGGTGGGAAAAGTACATTATTCTTCCCAACATCTTTTCCAAATCCTCTGCCTCGGATTTTCAAAACCTGTTTAAAGACCTATCTTTTTACTTGCATTTTTGAAGCACCTCCTATTCCACACTCATACCCCCCCTTCTCAGCTCTGGCTCCAGCTCAGTTTTTATAAAGCACTTTCTCTCTACATCAAAGGCGATCTATAACTGCAGAATTGTGTTGTTGTTGGATTTTATAAACTACTTCCTAGTAATTGTACAATATAATAATAATCCTTGCATTTGATATAGCACTTATCATGCCATTGAGATGCCTCTCAGGGTTTCACAGAATATACTGTAAAGTGGATTGACTGTGTATTTCATGGGTGAAACTAAGCACTGTATTTTTCAGGCAACAATAACTCATGGTTGCTAGCAAATTCCAATGCAAACACTGAAAAAAATGGTTGTAGCACCTGGTTGCAAAAGTTGCAATGAAGAGCTGGATGTAGACACTTGACAATTCAGCGAATGTTACAATAGGAATTATAATATTGATGGCTCTATTCAAACTGTTCCACCGTTGGCCACAGGGGGACATCAGAGATCAGGAAAGCTGCTTAGGGATACAAGAACATGAGGAGGGAAGGAATGAGAAAAGGTTTATAGCTCCACTGAAGTTGCTCCTTTCAACAGCACATGAAAGGGTTTACTGTGAAGTGTTGTGACTTTTTATAGGAGAATGCATGAAAAGGTAATTGAGTAAAAACCATGACACTGCAATCCAGTCTGGTCACATTCAATAAATTACACTTTTGCAGTTAAAATGATGGATGAGATTAAGGAATTCTGGATTGAAATAATCTGTCAAAAGACAATGGGATCCAGTACAAACATGTAGGTACAGTGTATCATGGAAACAACAGGACAATTTGGCAAATGTCATGGATTTTATTGAGGGCTGAAATATTATAAAGCACAATTACAATCCTCAATTTCAATGAATTGACAGAAATTATTCTAAGTGGTATAAAAATCTTCCTGCCTGACTCTTCCCTGACTGTCACATCAGGCATTGTGTTCTGTTTCAATCTTGATTCAATCTCTTGCCTTCCGTTCTGACCAACTCTACCTCCCATTGGAAGTCAAAATTGTAATAACCTGCTTCCTACTTTATCACTGTTGCTATGTGCTTTCTTCTCAGGTTTTTGTAAAACTCTAAGTATATATCTTACATGCTCTTGCTCCGCCCTAACTATTGAAGTAAAGAGTTAGTAGACTATCACACTGTCTCCTACTGTAACTCATAATTGACTTCAAGACTGCTTAACCCCTTAATCCTGTTCTCTTCTCTTTCTCCTACAATATACCGATTTTTAAAATCCAAACGGCATTCACCTCATTACTTCTTGACGAGTTTTCTCTGCTGGTCTTTTCAACATTGTTAGGGCTGATGTCCTAACTTTATATGTTGCAGAAATAAATTTAGCCTGACAACAATAATATAAGGATGTGTTTGTGCAGTAAAAATGTGACCTTGATAAAGAGTGATTGATTGGTCGAATTGTGCGAGGCAATGTGAAGCAGATAGGATTTCTCATTCTGCTTAAGCAGGACCATAGTGGGAGAAATACAAGACAATTGGCATCTGACAAGTATTAGATAGGTCAGTGCAAGTCCATGTAATATAGAACGAGTAATCGTCTTAAGAATACGTCGTAAGATATAAGAATGGATTGCGGAGGGAAGCAAGAAGAAAACACTAATAAAAATACAGGGTTGA